AACAGTTTGCAAGATATCTGTAAAGAAAGTGTTCTTACCTGTTCCTTGTTTTCCAATTATAATGAGAGCAGTTTCATTTTTAGCACTTGGATGTTGTAAGATGTTTGCAAACCAACATAAGATATACTCATAACTTTTCGTTTCCATTGCATATAATTTCTTTGACATGGTCTAACCAAGCTTCTAAATTTTCTTTCCATTCTACTTGTTCGTATTTATATCCAGTGAAGATAGAATAGAAGTTTGGAGAAGGTGTATAGAACTTTATACCACGAACTGAAAAATCTTCTAACTTTGACAATAAGATATCCCAAGCATCTAACATCTTCATGCCAACTTGTACGACTTTTATTTTCTTAAGTTTCTGTCTACATTCTTGTTCTGAAACTATTGTGCTCTTGGTTTGTTAAAGACAACATCCCATTCTTTCATGACATAACATTCTGGGGCAGAGTCGACATAAATGACTAAACGTTTCAAATTCTCGACTGCTTTGTTATAGTCTAAATGGACACATATTTCTGAATGCTTGGAAGTCATAAAAATCTGAAACATCTATTCTGTACATTTTTATAAAAATAAAAAAAAATATTTTTTTATTCTTGACTTTGTTGTTGCATTTGTTGCATTTGTTGTTCTTGAGCTATTTGTTGTTGAAGTTGTTCTTGTAATACAATACTTTCACCAGTTGCATCTTCCAATTCGAAACTTTCTGCCGTCATTGACAAATACATAGGACATAAAAGTTTTACAGGAACAAAGTTTGCGTCAACTAAGGTTAAGTTTATGTTTGCTAAAGTGTTTGAGTTCACTAAAGCTGAAAACTCTGCATTCGAATGAACAATAGGCAAACCAGCAGAGAAAGTGTTGTTTATACGCATGAGTATCTTTTGGTCATAGTAGTTTCTGTCGACATTCGAATAGCACTTTGAACCTAAGTTTGAAACAATATATAAAATAGGTGTGCTTAAAGTCAATGGAACAGAAACCTTGTATGACACCTTTTCCTGTTATAGGAAACTGTTGGTAGTAAAAACCAGATATAAGTTTTGTATTATAGCTCATATCGTTTATAGTAAACTCAGTCGGACATCCAAACATAATGAAACCTGCTCTAGTTGCAGCACATGTTACACCGTCCTTAAAGTATTAAATAAGTCAACAAAACCTGTTGGTGGTATATCTGAGTAAGTATCTTCAAAGGAGTATTTTTTACCATTCACAACAATAAAATCTTCTGGTGTCAAAAGAGCAAAACAGGCTTTAGTCGTCATTGTGTTTAAGGTTAGTTTACAATATCGTCCTTGAGGACTTTGTAAGTTTGTTGTTATAGAATTATATGACTCAGGGTTTTTAGTCGTAATAGTATAAACCATTATGTCTTCTGCCATTTACTTAGCAAATAAATTTTAATGAAATGTTGTGGTCGTCAAATATTTTTATGACGTCTGGGAAACTATATTTTAAGTTCAACGTTTCACCTCCTTTCATAACGTATATCTTGTCAATGACATTATATGAAACACCACAGCAACTAATGTCGGGTTCTATTTCTTTGATGTTTATATCGTCTGCCTCTGTCAAAAGTTTCAATAGTTCTTTCAAAACTTCATGAGGTGCGATGACATATGAGTTCACTTTTACAGGGTTGTGTTCGACCAAGTTTAACATTATACCAAAGCTTGACAAATCTTCTCCTGAGTTTTAAGTTTGTCTTTAAGTTGTTGGTAGTCGTTTCGAATATCTGCAACAGAACTTAAGTCTCTGCTAACTTCAGGATATGTTGGTTGTTCTTTTACAGGAACTATTGTTATACCATCTTCGTCTTCGTATGGTTTCCCCACTTCAACATCTCTTCTTTGACATTGACAACAACACTTTGACTGTTTGTTTGAGTTGGTGAATTTAACTTCACATCTGCCACCGCCATTAAACCTTTTGAAACACTTACGCTTCTATTTTTCGGAAATGACATTTTACTTAGAATAAAAAGATGGACGTATTCGAGTATCTCTTCGAATTGAAGCAAACAAAGTTTACACACACAAACAATACAAGTTCATTGACAGAATAGTTCTTTATACAAACAATGGAAAATGTTATAGAATAGCAGTCTTTGCTGAACCAAAATATTTTCATAAAGCAAAGAAAGTTGGTATAACTGAAATGGTGAAAGTTCTTGAAGCAGACAAAAATATAACAACAAAACTGACCGATATTTCTAAAGGTAAGTTTATAATACAATATTATGTCAAAACTGGCGTACTGTCAATATTTGACGGAGAGAAGTCAGTTCAAGAACAACTTACTGACCTGCTGCCAAAATCTGCTCGATGGAAGCTGTCGTTACCAATCTGAGGAGCCCCAGCAGGTTTCATCGAACGAATCTTCAAAAGAGCATCTTCCGTGAAAAGTGCTATTGGTTTTGTAAACTTCTTTGCTTCAGTTCATCTGGACCGTCTCTGTCACCAGTATATTGTATTTGAACTGTACCAACAGTTGAAATACCACCCATAAAGTCTTCTGAGTCAGCAAATGGAATGCCAAGCCAAAAGTTTGAACGGTCTCCATTTGTATATTGAGTTTTTTGACCTCCTGTATGAGTCCATACTTTCACATATGGCATAATAGAACTTTGCATTTCAGGGTTAATGGTTGTTGTGAAGTTGTTGTTAAAGTTCATAGCATCTAATGTCAAGTTGTATGACCTCATATCCTCAACTGTAGAATATTCTTCTCTTGGATAATATTTGCCATCTATGTTTATATGATATTTAATACCGGGGTTGTAGAAACAAGAATAGTCATTTATAGTTCGTCTGAACAGTACAAACATAGTATCTGCATGTTTCATTGCAGTTGTTAAAGCAATATCTGTTCTTGCACCTGGGTCAGCACTTTGGTTTCCAACTTCACCTGCAAAGTCTTTGACAGATATTTGGTGTATAGGGAACATAAGTGGAACTGCAATATATTTGGCAGCTAAAGCATTTGAAATATCTGGGTCCAACATATAGACTGCAAGTCTGCTTTCTATTCTCTTGCATTCAAATTTTTCGCATGTGAACTTAACTGGGTCCCAAGCATCTCCAGCAGCATTGAAATAATAGTTTACTTCAGTGTTGAGGTTTGAGAAACCAAAGTCTAAGTCAACTTTGTTTTGCAAAAGTCGGCGAATGACATTTTATTTGTTCCCACTACTTCTGTAAGAGTGAATGGGTCTTGTGTTGGTGCAATGACTAAGTTATTTTTGCTTGGAGTAAGTTCGATAGAAATTTTTCCTGCCCAGTTTGGCAAGTATCTTAAAAACCTGAAGATGAGGAAAGATGACAAAGGAACTCTAAGTTTCAGTTTTACTTTGGTTACTGCTGCTGCAGTTTGTCCAGAAAGGTTAACATAAACTCCTGGAACGTTAGGGTCAAGTCTTCTTATTTTCTCAATAGTTGCATACTGGTCTGTTTGTTCTCTAGCTTGTGGTTGTACTGAGTTTCTCAAAGCGAACCATTCATAGTTTGCCCATGTTACTGTTTGAACTAAGTCAGAGTTAGAATATATCTTATATCCCATGAAAACTTCTGGAGCATATTGGTATCCGACATAGAAAATTCCATTGCAACCTTTCTTGTCAGACAACTTGGCAGAAGGTTTTATTTCAATGTCTTGTTCCACGTATAAGAAAGAGTTGTCAATAGAAATTATATGAAACCTGTCGCAAGCAATATCTACTGTTGTTGAAGAACCTTCTCCAAACTCACCTACGTTTCCATAAGAAACAGCAGTTGTATATTCGTAAGTTCCAGGAACTATTTCTGACCTTCTAATGGCATTGTCGCATTCGTTATACCATTCGGAAACATTTCCATTCATGGCATCCAAAACTGTTGGCGTTATATTCTGAGCGGCGTACATTTCATATGAGTAAAAATATAGAATAGTTGGATTTATATGTCATAATAGAACCCACGTGGACCAAGCTTTACTTTCTTCCTGACTGAGTTTTTAACTCTTCTTTTTCCTTCATTGCCCTCTGCTTGAAGTTGTTGCATCTTTGCATTATGTTCATCTAGTATGTTGCAAATTTCCCATGTCCTTTTTGCCTTTTGGCTCTGGTCGCCCATCTCAGGTAACCTATATCCTAGAAAGAGTTTGTCATAGTTGTATTTGAGTCTTCGCGTATTGTTTGCATGACTCTTTCCTGAGTTTCCGGTTCAAGCTCTTCAAACAGTGCCTGTCCATATGGAATATGCTCGTTTCCAAATATATGTTTTTGTAGCCATTCTGGTTTTCTTTCCATGTTACCAACTATATCTTTTGTGAATGGGAAAGCTTTTACCCAATCTTTCAGTCTTGCGTCGTTTATTTCTGTAGTTGGTTTTATTTTGTCAAGGAACATGTTTTTCAATACTAACATTTCATTTGGTACTGTCCATTTGAGTTTTCTTAAATATTCATCCCTTCTCATTCATTGTCTGCAAAGTAAGTTTTTATGACATTTTGTAAACTTTCGTTTGCAAGGTCATGTACAATAGGTTCTCTTCCTTCTCTCCCTAACTTTCTTTCTAAACTCTTCACCAAATATACCATCTCTATGGTTCTGTGTAGTTCTTTGAGATAAATGTTCTAGAACGTCAGGTGTTATATTTCCATCAGCCATGTTCATTTCATACTGGTCCAAAATATCTGCATCTTTCATATCTTTCAATGGCATTAAAGCCGCGCTGAAAATACCAGCTATATCTGGTTCACCATTCACTTCCATTGCGTCTACAACTTCTTGGAATTGAGGTTGTAAGTTTATGAACCACCTATCCGGATTAGCTTTATGACCCCATCTCATTGTAGTTCCATCGTCTGCAGAAACAAAAGTAGGTTTGTTTCCATCTTGGTTAGGTTCTGAATGAACTTTAAACAATGTTTCATTTCTATATGTTTTCTTGAAATTTAACCTTTTATTTTCACCGAGTTCATCCGAAGATTGAACGTTAAATGCTCGTAAGTAAAAAGGGTTGTTGTATTTGTGTACATTTTCTTTCAGTACTTCCATTCTATGCTGAATATTTTCATCTGGTGTTGGAGTCTTTTGTATGTCGGCAAACATTTTTCGATATTCTTCTACTATGTCAGCCGAATTTTTTTTAGACTCTTGGAAATATTCCATATTCTCCGCATACTCTTGTTGAGGGTCAAGATTTTTCGGCTGTTCCAAATCTTCATCTAGTTCTGTGAAGTTAGTTTCCAAAGGAGTGACTTGTTCGTTTCCTTCAGGCTCTTCTAGCTGTTGTTGCTGAACTATTTCTTCCATGTCTGGTTGTATCTGAACTATTTCTTCCTGTGGAGTTTCTTGTACCTCATCTGCTGGCATTTCATATATTCCGAGACCGTTTTTAACAATTTCCCTATCTACGTCATCCGCATTCATAAGCTTTTGTTCTTTCGTTCCGTCTCTATTTTTTACGCGTTTCATGACGAAAGTTGAATTGTCATTTAGCTCTGACATCAAATATCTCGGAGTAAATTCATCCATGTCATTTGGATGATATGCTATTAAATCATATCCCTTAGCGAGCTTGTATTTTCCAGGTTTGAGATTATATCCGTTTTGGTGCTGAGCCATAAAGCTAAATAGGTTCGGGTCAGTATTTCCATCCTTGAACTTTCCAATAGCTTCTTTATATCTGTCACTAAAGTCAACAGTATCTGGGAAACCACACTCTTCTTTAAGCATTTTTAAGAATTCTTGGTTTCCTTGTTCTCTACTTCTTTTATGTCCTTGCTCTGTTTGTGGTTGTTGTTGTGCAGGGTTTTGAACTGTTGGTTGTTGTGCTGGTTTGTGGTTGTGTGCTGGTTGTTGTGTTGGTTGTTGTGTGGTTGTGGTGGTTGTTGTGCATGCCTGTGTCTGTGTCCATGTGACGATGTAAATGTTCTAGGTAGTCCTGGTGCAGGTGCTTCTCTTGGAGGGTTTGGTGGTATATAAGTTCCACCAGCTGGCACATATGTTCCATCTGCAGCGTAATGTCCTACCTGACTTTTCGTTTTTAAGAAAGCATTTACTAGGTCTGTTTTGGTCTGTTGTAACTCTTTTTCTTGACTTTTCACAACAGTTGCTCTAACGGCGTCATAGGCACTTTGAACTGCCTGTCTCGTTGCTGCATCTGTTATTTTCGTCATATTTTGTGCTACTTCTTTAACTCTTTGTCGAAACCTTCAGACTTCAGTTTCTTTCCAGATGAGAAGTCGTTCACTTGTTTCACCTTACTATGAAGAGCTTCGAAGGCGTTCTTAAAGTCAGCATTCATTAAAGCTTCATTTGAACTGTCTTCATCCGCTTGTATTTTTGTCCTTATTGACCCTATAAGTTGGGCTGCTTTAGCGTTGGCTTGGGCATCTAACCAGTCATTGTTAGCTTTTATATATTCTGCGCTTTTCATTGCCTTTTGCATGGCTGCGTCGTTATTTTTACTTTCTTGTGCTAAGTTTTCATACTGTACGGTTTGGTTTTGCAACTGTAAAAGTTTTTCTGCCTTTACATTTGCTTCAACTTCTTTTTTATACTCATCGCTATCCATATATGTCTTCAGGGCTTTTTGTTTTATCTCTTCATCTTTCAGTATTTATATTGAGTAGTATGGTTTTTCAAATTTTAACATCTTGTTCCATTTTTGCTACTTCTGCTGCTTTTTCTGACACTTTTTTCGCATATTCCTCTGTACTTAGTTCTTTCAGTTGTTCTTCTTTCTTCTTTTTCTCTACGTTTAACTCATTGAGTTTCTTTGTGTGTCTGTCATATTCTAGTTTCTTTTCGTTTTCACTTATTTGCTTCTGTATGTCTATGTTTGACTTTTTGACATCTGTTATTTGATTTTTGAGTGAACTCAAATTCATTTGACTTTGAGGGTTATAGCTGTTCCGTCTGCAGCTCCACCATAGCCTGCCATTTTCGCTAAAAGTGCCGCTCTTAAACCTCCACTCTGTGCACCAACAACTCGGTTTAAAAGCATAGGATTGCTTGACATTTGTTGCAACATAGTGGGGTCATTCATAATTTGTTGTTGCAACTGTTGTTGTGGTGTAGTTTTACTATTGGATGTTTCAATGCTCTCTTCCTCTTACGTATATTCTTACGTAGCTTACGTGGCATTTTAAGTGAAGTAAAAAACGGTTTTTGACAGATGTTTATATGACACTTTTTGTTCAGCACAAAAAACTACTCGGTCAAAGTGTTGTCAGTTTTGTAAAATAACCGTCCTATCTCATTCTATAAGGGAGAAAAGGCTTCTCAAAGTATACTTCCTTGGAACGCCTGTAACTTTTCCTGTAGCGACGATAGACCCTTACTTGTCCGGACAAAGTTATACTATTTTGAGTGCTCTACAAAAAAGTCAATGGCGTCGACTCTCAAAAACCGTTGTGTAAAAAGTTTTACCGTTGGACAAAAAAGTATATATAGAAAACAAAAAACGTTTATAGTTCATTCAATATTTGAGATGGAACGGTTTTCCAACGGTAACTATTAAATAAAATAAAAAAATAGAGGGAGTCTCCGTTGACGAAAACGGTTCATCTCAAACTCTTATTTGAAAAAACAGTTTATTTTTGTCTAATGGAAGGAAGAAAAAGTGTCGCAAACAATTCGTCGACTACCTCTGCAGTTAAAGTTCCTACAACTTATGTCTCACCATTCTCAAAACCCTTACAACCTCCTATAATACCAAAGCAACTTCCTCATACAATTGCAAACAATTCGTCGACTACCTCTGCAGTTAAAGTTCCTACAACTTATGTCTCACCATTCTCAAAACCCTTACAACCTCCTATAATACCAAAGCAACTTCCTCATACAATTGCAAACAATTCGTCGACTACCTCTGCAGTTAAAGTTCCTACAACTTATGTCTCACCATTCTCAAAACCCTTACAACCTCCTATAATACCAAAGCAACTTCCTCATACAATTGCAAACAAATTGTCCAACAATTTGAGTTCTTCTTCTCAAAACACAACAGATACAGTTGTCCAAACAGCACCAGAACAAGTTTCACATAGTTCTACAATTCAAGACAAATTGTCCAACAATTTGAGTTCTTCTTCTTCTCAAAACACAACAGAAACATCTGAAACAGATTTACAACCAGCACCAGAACAAGTTTCACATAGTTCTACAAGTATGTTAACAAGAGCACAATTTCAAGATTTAATTTCTCTTGAACAATATTCGAGTAACGAAACACAAAGCGACGACTGTAACCTCTCGCTACCCGAATCCATTCAAAGAAAATACGCCATGAAAAGACTGAAATTGTTGTATAAACTTCTTAACAATTGGGGGTCGAAGACAACTCAGATTATAGTGAAATGTTTAACAAAGTCATAGAATCTGTTAAACCAATTGAAAACGACATAAAAAATCCCGGTGTTCTTGTAGACCTTTTCGCCTCAAAATTACCAGTTACAACCAATCTAATAGCAACACAAGCTATAGAGCAATTTATTTTATGTTTTCCCAAGCAATATAGACAACACCTGAGGGAAACAAGAATAGGAAAATTTCAATTGGTGTATCCTACAACATACAACTATTACGAAGAAGCAAATGAATATGGAGAACTCTCATTCCATTTCACACTTTCAGTTCCTGAGGGAGAAGAAAAAGCAATCTATCATGTACAATCTCTTGCAGGATGTGAAGGAAAACCTCACATCATAACTACTGTTGCAATTGACAAACCTGCAAGAGTCGAAGACGATGTTTTGTTCGCGTCCATTGCTGGTTTTGGCATGGGAGAACCAATTCCAATTTCCCATTTCACAGAATACTCAGCACAACATTTTCAAAATGTAGAATTCGTGTTCTACGACCATCAAAAGTTCCTGCTAACAAAACCAAAGAAACAATTTGTCTCAATATTTGTTGCTGGTCATGTGGCTGACAAAGAGCCATCAGATACTGACTATGAAGAAGAGGAGGAGGAAGAAGAAAACGATAGCGATGTCGTTCTTATCGAATAAAAACTTTAATTTCTTACTATATAATTTTTTAGTTCTCCTCTAGGTTTTTTAGGGGCTAGAAGGGGCGCAGCCCCTGGAAGCCCCACTCCCTTTTTTTTTTTTTTTTTTTTTTTTTTTTTTTGCAATTCTTCTTGCGACCAAAGATTTGAATAAAAGTTCAAAAAATAAGATAGCTTAAAAAATAATATACGGTAGTGTTTACTAATAGATGAATAGTATATAAATTCTATTAAAATGGATTTGATCCAAAAAAATATAAAACCAAAAATAATTGTTATAATTTAAATGAAGAAGTAATTTAAAACGATTTTATTTATGATCAAATTTTATATATTTTTTTGGATCAAATCCATTTTAATAGAATTTATATACTATTCATCTATTAGTAAACACTACCGTATATTATTTTTTAAGCTATCTTATTTTTTGAACTTTTATTCAAATCTTTGGTCGCAAGAAGAATTGCATGATAAATAAAAACATTTAATCAAAGTCAATTTTATTTTTCATATTCAAATGGACTGAGTGTTAACATTTAACATTTTTTGCTAATTGTCGTCAAAAATTAGGCGTAAAGCAAAAATTGATATTTCATATGGTTTTATGATAGATAAGCATTATATTCCCACTCATTATATTCGTAAATTTTGAGGTTTATCCTTCGCTTTTAAGATCATTGAATTTGATTTTTATATAAAATAGTTATATATTAGAAAATAATATGAGTTTATGTGATATTATTTTTCAGAAGATTTTGTGTTCTTCTTCAAAATTTTATTTTTTTATTAAAAAGAATCTTTACAAAATATACATTTACTTTAATTAATATTTAAAAACGTGCTCTATCAAAAGTTCCAAAAATTCAATATTTTAGCTTTTCTGAGGTGTCACTTTTGATGAATTTCTGATTACAACAGTTTGATGAACCGAATATTGTAATCCAGACTAGGTCAGTTGCTTGTTGGTCATAGATAATAATGACACCTTTCAGTTTTTGTTAAACATCTCAATTATCCCGCCAAAAATTATTGGGTCTAAATTGGTTTTTATTATTATTATTTTCAGAAACAAACTAACTTGTTTTTTAGGAATTTATCATTCATAAAGTCTTTATGATATATTTTCAACTTATAATGAATATGAAATTATAATTGTTATTTCGAAAAAAAATTATTCATGATCAATTCATGATTTAACCAGTTCCTTCAAATTAGGAGAGCATATTCAAATATAATCGCTCATTAAAATCAATTTTTATGTTTTTTTTAAATCGAAATTATCTCATCATAAACCATGCAAACTGACTATTTGTTCTTATCACCATGTTACCAATATCAGAATTGTCTTTACAGCCAAAATTTCGCTCGATAAAAGTCCATCCAATAGTGAGATAATTGAGCAACGAACATTTTTCCATATCACAAAAAACTCCCCTTGTGGGGAAGACCAAAAAAGTGACAAAATGGATGAGCTAATAAAAGAAATCGAAAAGCTCACCAAAGTATCAAGGATTCTTCAACCAGAGCAGATGATTATGACAAATCTCAACAATCTTGATCAATATCTTAACGAAAATATTACTCAAGATCAATATAAAAAAATTGAACACGCATTATTGTCTTTATTTTCAATAAACTCTGGAAATTTCAGTATTCCATGTGCATTACAAATAGCTTGTTCATTAGTTTCCTTATACAATTGCGTAAAAACTCCACAATTTTTCGATTTATTTTCATTAGTTGTCGAAAAGCAAACTACTATTGCAACTATCATTGCTACTGGCTATGTAATCCGTTATCAAGGTCAGCATGCAAAATCTCAATTACCAAGATTTGTCGAACATATTTTGAAGCAAGGACAGAATCTAGACTTCGCAGTTGTATATGCTCTTAGATGTGTATTCAAAACAGGCAGCAAAACAATAGAAAAATTCGTTCTTCCTGCTTTTCAATTTGCAAAACGCGCAATTATGTTGCCAAGACAGACAACAATACTCGCCTGCTTGAAACTATTCAAAATCTTGCTACGATTTAATACATTAACGCCAGAAATGGTTTTTGAGTGTATTTCCTCAATATTAAGAGAAGATCAATTTCCTGTTATCAAAAACGAGATAGCATCACTTGTTGCACGATGTGCTTTCATACCGATCTCCCATTCCATTAAAAACAACAATCAACAAAATGAATGGGCAATTGGCGGAGAAAAAGACAAACCAAAGCAATTATTCGCGAAACAACTCAAAGATATCAAAGGATTTCCTATTATTATGGACATGTCGATTATGCATTTCTTAGATTTGATTACTCCTGAAATGATTGCACAAGATAGTCAAACAATATTCACATTCATCAGAAGTAAGTCCGAAGCCAACTTACAGCGCCTTATTCCGATGCTTCCAGAAGAATTTCGAAATGAACATTTCAAAAACATCCTGAAAGAGGTTCCTTCTCCCATCCAACTGCATCTCCTCTCGATGATGTCCCCGGATAACGGCTCGGTTCATAGCATTGCCCGTGCCGCAGTCGATCTTTCGTTCACAAACAACAAACTCTTCAGAAGAGTGGCCATTGACTTCTTCGTTACATTTTCTAAGGAACAGCCAAAGGCAGCAAACGAGTTTTTGGCCGAATCTTTGAAGTTTTTGATAGAAGATAACACAAATAACCTTTACAAGACCCGCAGAATGGGATATATTGCTAAGACTATCCTTAACAATATCAATGCCGCTGGTCCTTTGATTTCAGATAACAGAGAAACAATAAATCAGTTGATTGAACAGACTTTTTCATCATTTAGCATCGAATCACCTAAATGCTGTGCTGTCCTTCACATATTATCAGCATTACCTGAGGAATTTGGTACAATGGACGTTGTTTCTAACTCAATTTCTAATATTATTTCACAATTAAAGGGAAATCTCTCAAATCAAGGCAAGAAGACACTCAAAGCCATGATAATATTCAGAAGCGTGATACAGGAAGAAAATTCATGCAAATCTCTAGTTGATTTAATATTAAATAATTTCCAGAAGCTTCCGATACCTGTAATCAAGGCATTATGTGAGATTGTACCTAAATATCTCCAATCCACACAGCAGGCAACTCTTGTCGCTGAAAAAATCATCGAAAGAACAACATCTCTCAAAATTTCAACAGATCTTATCAAAAACTTCATAAAGAGACCGTTACCAACCGGTTTAGACCTTCTCAAACTTCCGACACCTTTAACTCCTCAACAAATCAGAGATCAACAAGTTTTAGAGCGAATTGTCCTCAATTTCCCATCATTATTCAACTCTTGTTCAGAAAACAGCCGCGTAAAGATCTATGACAAGCTAATTCACCTCGTAAACGTTGCTCCAATCGCAAGATTATATCTTTTAGCAATTTGTCAGTCAGAGTTCTCAAATTCATTGCCAACGAGTGCTCTCAACTACTTTATACAGCAATGTAACACGAATAACCTTTCTACTCTTCAACTTTCCGCAGAATCTGTTGGATCTTTTCTTGTCGGACATCCGAACTCATTAAATAACGTCATTTCATACGTAGAGAAACTAAATACGATGAATGGCTGTTTCATTATGTCCGCAATTTCATCTTATGTTTCTTTTGATCGAGATAACCTTCTCAGAGCGTTTATCTACATATCCTGCAAGATTCGCGATCAAAAGTTGCTTGCGTTCGCTGCATTGGCACTCTCTTCTTTGTGTTATAACAATATGATGAATATTGTTGAGCTAGGAATTTCATCGGACATGCTTAGCGTCATTTTCCAAGCATTGCAGAACACAGCTGCCATGCAACCGATTGTCGTTAACCTCCTTTCAGCCGCATTTTCCATAATGATTGAGACAATTTCCGTTGAATTGCAGTCTAACAGTCTTTTAGTTGACTTAGTCTTCTGCATCATCAACTCCATAAGGAATATCCCCATTTCCTACTCCCACGAAGCATTTTATTCCGTAGCAAAATCGCTTTTCACATTTGCCTATTCAATTTCGAACAATTTGACGATAAAATATCCAATGTACGAAGGCAGTCCAACAGAGATACAATTATCAGCTTGTGACTGTTTCAGCATCTCCGGGAAATTTAATAAAATGAATTTGGACACTTCGGCCATGTTATCAAAAATTTTGTCACTTTTACAAAGAACATCCGATGACAGAGCGTCCAATTTCATTTTAACGATGGCGAAGATGTCAGAAGACACAGGATTCTGGATTTCCAACATCAGGAGAATCCTTTTGACGTCAAGTCTCTTGGAGACACAAAGTAGTACGATAGAACCGACTCCAACCGTCAAAGAATGTTGTTTAAAGGTTTGTCTTATTCTTTTGGGCCAAATAAAGAACTGCGAGACCTTAAACACCGAGCATTTAGACGATATCATCTCTTCCGCCTGCAAAGCAACAAACACTGATTTGTTGCAATTGCAAATGACAGCGTTTCCTGTTTTGCAAAAAGTTATTGAACTTTTCAAATGTGTCAAAACCGAAGAAGGAAATAACTTGTTGAGTCTTTACGACTCCCAATTCGCACAAGCTGTGAAAAGCGGTTTCTCTCTCGATCTCTCTGTCGCAGGGAAGTTCCTCTACAGTTATCTGACTTTCAACACAGAGAACATCGAAATGACAACCTCAAACATTTTGAAAACTTATGTTGACGGTTTGTCAAATTGTAAACAACGATCACAACCGTTTTTCGAATTGTCCACACACTTGTGCACGAGTGCAAGGAACTCTCCTGTCATTTTCGAAGAGATAAAGGACTTCTTGAAGACTTTGACACCAATGATGTCAAAAATTGTCACTCAATCAATGTCACTTTTTAAGAATTTAACTGATTGGCGTCAAAACAGCAAATTCAGGGAGTTTTCTCAGAGTTTCTATCCAGAGATGCTTCCTAATTTCGTTTGGCTGCAGAGTTTCAGTGAAATTCTCATTGATTACCAAGTTTTGGTTTCTTTCTTTTTGATAGAAATCTCTTTCCAAAGAGAGAAATGGTTGTTCGACGCTGCTTTCGACTCTCTAAAATTCGTGTTCACTTTCGCAGCCCAGAAAATCAACCCAGAATTAATAGAACTATCAATAAGAACTGTAATGCCTTACCTCAAAAATTTGTCAAAAGAAACCACTGTCAGTTTTATAATTGGCTGTGCAAAAACTTTACAAAAAGGTGACAAATATGACAATTTGAGGTATTTGATTTTGAGCATCTCTTTGGATGAAAACTTGTTCGATTCGACTGTTATTTCTTACGTTGTTTTTACTGATCAAAATAATATTTTGGAAAAATTTGTGCCAACAATTTCAAAATTTTTGACAAAAAGTGTCAATTCCAAGTTTACAACCATTGAAAAATGTGTATCATTGTATTCCTTGTTATCCATACATTACAAGAAAATGGTTGGCCAGATTATTCCTGATATTTTATCGTTGCAAAATTCAATTGAAAATGATTATTTATTAGAAATCTTAAATAATTGTTTGATGAATTTCGAAGGAGAATTTCCGATTGATATCATGGCCCGTTTCTGCATCCAAATCTTTAGAAGAGGTGGAATGCTGTTAATAGCAAGATTGTTAATTAGCCGGCCAAATATAGGTATCGTCTTTTTACAAAATGGCGGAATGAAGTCTTGTTTCTTGATGGCGATGAATGATTTCAGTAATTTCGCTGTTTACGGAAGATTTATTGAATTGGCAATTTCTGTTTGTCAGAAAAGTGACAAAACCGTTTGTTTAATGTTATGTGAATCAGTTACAAGACTTGTTTGCAAACTAATTGTTCAGTACGGAAATGATGTTATGAAAGGCCATCAAACTGTTCAATTATGTGTTTCTCTTCTCAAGAAATGTCAGGAAATATTAAATGACGAAAAATTCCTTTCGATTCTTTTGTCAATCGACTCTTTCGACAGACAGGATGTTGTTAAAATGCTGGAGATACATATACAGAAGGCTGCAATAAAGAAGAAGGCAAAACAACTCGCTACTTTCTCTTCAAACACAAGAGCAAGAAAATCGGATGATTGGCAGACTTTGGAGTTATCTGATGATGATTAACTCTTTTATATTAATTTTTTTTTGTAATTTTTCTTTTGTAAATAATAAAAAATATAATGTTGACAAAAAATTGCATGTTTTTTAAGATAAAGATAAATTGACAAAAATTTGAATTAAAGTCAGATGGGTGTAAGTGTAACCTTAAATATTTCATCGAAATCGTCAACAACACATTCATTTGAGAGGAAAACTGATTACTTTCTCACGCAATTTTCTTACAAAAAATAAAAATTGCGTCAGAAAGTTTACAAATTTATTCATTCTTACAAACAGGGCCTCAGAAAGTACTCAAGCATATTTATTGTCAATCTGTTTCAAAGCATATTTCCCTGATGAAACTCTTTTCTTCAATGATTGAGTGGATTCTAGAAATATGTTTATTGAGTTAAACTGTCACTTTTTTATATCAAAAACTTCAATTATTATCAAGCAAACAAACAATTTGATCCAAATTTACGTGCTCATTTTCGATGATTAGTTTCAATTCATATTAACTTCTTCGCAATCATTCCAAATTGTCTCAAAATAAAATTAAATTTTCCAAATTATTGTTACTTTTCTATAAAACTGCTTGGTATCGAACTTGCAAATAGATAAGCATCTATATTTCTTCAACAGTTTCACAACTGAAAATTATTTTCGAACAAATTTAAACAAAATCTTTAGAAAAATGGATTTTTATAATACCAAATGGTTACTTAAGTGATTTTATCGACGTCTTCTTGAACCAAATGATTCATAGAAAGGACAAGTCTTATGATTTACAGGATTATTTGAATTATCATTATAATACAGCGAAATTTTTGCTCTTCCTTCAATATAAGAGTTTAGACCACTAAATGTTTCACCTTCAATCACAGTAAGCTCAGTTATTTCTCGAATTGAAGGAGGTCTTCTTATGGGATAAACAAAACCAGATCCACCGCGATCATATACACCATAAAGCCCCCCTCCACCACCACTATAATAGTAACCATCTCCATGACATTGAGAAAATGTTGAATAACTATATCCATTTCCAAAATATTTATCACTAACATAAGTAGATTTAACTCCACCTCCAGAATCAAAATGATCTTCACTAGAGTAATAAGAATAGGCACTACCACCAGCAATCAAGAATCTAGAACTAAGATAGTTATCAACTCTGAAATCTGTTGCACCTCCACCACCATAATAGCACCCAGAACCACCTCCATTAAATGCTTTATTTGTCAATCTGTCAACTCCTGTATATAAATCACCAATTCCACCAATGTAAAGATAGATTGTTTGGTCTTTTGGAAAGTCAACAAGTGCATAGCTATATCCTCCATAAAGACCTTCTTTAGGACTACTATACCCTCCTTGAGCACCCCACACTTCGAGAAGATAAGTACCTTTTTTAATATAGGGTGTCCAAAGGTGCGTTTAGCACAGCGCTCTATATGAGACTATTAAAGGAGATATATGCTGATTATAAATATATAATAAAAAATATGAATATATGTATATGATGAGTATGTTGTATTTTGGCGCCATGCCGGGATATAAAATGAATTTTGAGACAAGAGGCGGTTACGCGGGAAATTTTGGCGGGATTTTTTCATTTTTTTAATGAATCATAAAGAAAACATCCTCGCTCTTGCAAAAAAATGCAAAGACTGTAAAAAATCTACGAGACATTGGTAAAATGCTTCGGTATGGATGCTCCTAGCTATTCCACTGTAACGTATCATGTTAGGATGTATCACTTCATGAACAAAAAGGCGCCCATCATAAAAATTGACAAAAAATCGCCGGATCAAAGAAAAATCAAAGCAATTCTTCAAGCGCTAGATGAAGACCCAAGAGCATCACTCAGAAGGATAGAGGAGATGACAAAGATACCACGTACAACAGTCAGTTATTATCTGCACAATTATTTGAACTACAAACTAGCGTATACACGTTGGGTTCCGCACAACCTTAATTCAGTTCAAAAAAAATCTAGAGTCCAATCTTCGAAAGAGCTCCTCTCTATATTGGGTGCGTATCAATCCAAGAAGTTTCGCTTTTTAGTAACAGGGGATGAGTCTTGGTTTCAATATGCAACAGAAGCCAAAATCATGTGGATCCCGAAGGATGAAAATCCGCAAACATTCCCGAAGAAAAAAATTGACACACCAATGATGATGTTGTCGGTTTTTTGGGGCGTGAATGGCATCATCGCAATTGATATTCTTCAAAAACCTAATACGATGAATGCTCAGTATCTAATTGACAATGTTCTTACTCAAATTATCAATTCTGATGAGTTTGAGAAATCCAAACAACAAAAACAAAAGTTTGCAATTCATTTTGATAATTCAAGAGTTCACAAAAGTCATAAGGTAATGAATTACTTGGTGGAAAACAATGTCAAAGTTGTTCCAAACCCAATTTATTCACCTGATATTGCACCCTCTGACTTTTATTTATTCGGCACGCTAAAAAAGAGAGCTGAAGGACGCGAATTCGCGAGTCCAGATGATCTTGAAAATTTTGTAAGAGAGCAATTTGAGCAATTTTCTCATGATGATTTAAAGCGTGTCTTTCAAGCCTGGATCGATCGCTGCGAACGCGTGATTGAATCCAATGGTGATTATATTTAAATAAACTTTATATATATGTAACTTGTTTATTTCTATTCGCAGTATTCAGGTTTGTGCTAAACACACCTTTGGACACCCTATATTTAGTTTGATTCCACCGCATGTGAAATTTGAATTGCAAGGATAAGAAAATACGCACGAATCTCTTAAGCATGCAGGATTTTTGACTCCATAGTTTGGACTCAAAAATTCATACGATCCAAAAAATGTCGTATTTCCAAAGACAATCTTGGTGAACAAAAACAATGTCATTTGATAAGATTGAACTATCGTTTGAATTCAAAATCTTTCGAAGTCTAAGAATTGCATCGAAAATCATATCAAGAATTATCTTCAATTATTTCTTGATTTAATTGTTAAAAATATTCTTCAACAGGTTTTGTTAGAAAAACTTAGAAGTTAAATCCGAAAGAATTCATTATAAAATATATTGATCATGATGAGATGACTATTTCGTTAATATATCAAGAAATTATCGATAGATAATGAAATATCATAAACATTTCTCATCAAGATCTATATAACGATATATGATCTGTTGATGTGTTTTCTTTTATCAAACGATGTAGATGGAATTGAAAAAGAAGATGGCAGAAACTGCCGGATAAATAATTCCATCAGATCTTTCCTTTGACTTTCCATTTAAGGGCTTTACTTAAACGTTCCATTTTAACAATATCTTACTATGAATTATTTTTAAGAAATGACTTCTTAAATTGCTTTCTTCATTATTGAAATATCTAGTGAAGCAAGCAAGACTTAAATTTTCATGAAAATTGATTTGTTTTTATTCAATGTAATTATTTGCATGAGTCCAAGTTTGGATATACTGCGATAGATAACTTCTTTTTAATCTTTTAAGATAACGGAATTATAGCACTTAAACAAATACAAAATATTGAGAGCTCTCAAAAAATGAGAAGATCTTTCAAATCTTGATTTAAACAGTTGCTCTCAATATGTAAACATACTTCATTGGTATTTTCTAATTCATTCCATTGAGTTATTATGAGAAAAATTATAAAATTATAAAAATTAAAATGATAATTTTAAACAAAAATTCAAATAATAAAGAATATAAATAGAGAGACAAGTCCAGCACAGAACTTATACCAGTTAACATCATCTGGAGATATAATTAGAGTGAGAATTAAAAGAATGAGGGCAACAATAACAAGAACGAAAGGTTGATGCTTCTTCCACTGTCCTTCGAACGAACTACGATCAAATTCCTTGTTCATGATCTTTGATTTGAAGTAGTTAAAGTTCATTAAGAATATTCTATTCATTGCCTCTTCGACGAACTCTTTATCCCAAGTTTCTGTAATCCAATCAAGCGAATATGCACAGCGGAACTGAAGAGACTTATGATCGCGTTGAATAAAGTATTGAAGTGGAATTTGTAAAAAGTTCTGGGCCAAAATTCTAGATAATGTATAGAAGCACTCTAATGATGATGTCTTTCCTGATTTCATCATCTTTTGGACCAAAGAAATGTTTGTCATCTGAAACATTGGATGAGTAAACTGAATGATCCTTGTAACACCATCCTGGATCTTTTGCCATCTAGATACGATTATATCCTTAGAGCCGCACATCGTCATTGCGTCAATCCACAAATCTGATGTTTTCAACAATTTGTAGACTTCGCTGAAATGTGCTGGCATAAGCTCTTCCATTGTATGTGGGGCACGTAATATTGTTAATCTTTTGAGGACTTCTGCATCATCCTTGGCGATAAAACCGTAAGAAGATTTTTTATTTTTGACAGCATTGGTTAAGAGGAGGACATACGACCAAAACACATCTCTATCCTTCATGGCGGATAAGAATATAGAGTTGTTGTTATCCAGCTCGAAAGTAATTCCTTTATCATTGTATCTTTTCTGTTCTAATGTCATTTTAAGGATTTGCTGCCATTGGATTTCGATAACCCAGCCGTTGTTTCCTTTCTGAACGAATATCAAACTGTTCTTTGTGAAGATTGATTCACCGGCAAATTGTCCTTTTGTAAAAGTGCACCAGCATGCGGTTCTGTATATAACATTCTCCTCATGTTTGATAGTAATGGACCCTTTCTTTACGTAATTTGACACTTCAGAAGGGACTTCTGATGACATCAAAAAATTGGATTATCGATAAAATTTATACGCTTTCAATGAATCCAATGAGCTCACTCAAAAGATTGAAAGGGAAAATCACTTTTCAATTTTCTCCCTAATCAACACAAAATAAATTGGATCACGAGGATGTAAGATAGATGTGACTTCCAATTTTAATATCATTTTGCGCTCGATTTTAGTTTTAGAAATTTCAAATTTCAAAATTGATTTATGCAATTAAACATATCTAATGATAAATCATCTTAAGATTATTAACATCAAATATTAACTCTTAACTTCATCATCGTATATATTTGATGGAGATATTGTAAATTAGTATCAATTGGATAAAGATATTGAGAATTTTACTACAAAAATAGTTATTTGCTCTTAAACAATGAAGCATACAGATATTACATCACTTATTCATATTGAAATGCTTCATTGTTTAAGAGCAAATATCGGTTGGCATCTCATAAAAATTATATTAATATATCTGCACTGCCTACTAGTTTTCATTCACGCATAAGATGCTCTTAATAACATCAACTTTTACATTCAATAGAAATGATATTGATATAAACTAATTTTCCTGTAGCTATGTTTCATGAGATAAATATGCCTCTGTGCCAAGATGCTTTGGTCATATAACAGCATTCAAATAAAATTACCAATCTAGAGATAAAATTCAATACGGCAATTTGTCACTTTTAAATTCTAGTGAAATGAGTTCCAAGGCAGCAGTTTTAGAGAAAATGAAACAAAATGGTGTAAATTGCCGATTGCAAGCTATTTATGTTACCAAACTTGCACAGGCAATTCAGGAATCCGATATTGAATCGATGAAAAAAATAAAACCCCTTAATGAAGAGAAAAAATACCTGATTGCTAACTCAATCATTATCAATTTTCTGAATTCCAGAAAATTTGATAAAACTCTCGAATCCATATCAATCGAATCGAAAGATTTCAAGGAAAAAAGCATAAAATCTCCTGAAAAGGAATTAAAATTACAAGCTAATGGAAAATTAATCAAACAATTAATAAACTCAAATACAAAAACTCAGAAAGATCAAAGTCATACAGAATTACGCAAGCAGCTTACAAACAGATTGCAACAGATCAACGATGAAGATGAAAAACCTGAAAAGAAAGAAGAACCACTGAAAGAAACTCCCAAAGAACAAAAGAAGCCAGTTGAGCCCGTTATTGAAGTCAAAACTGACGAATCAGACTCCTTTGATTTTGAAATCGAAGATACTACAAAACCAGCTCCAAAACAGCCCCAGCAGCAAGCAAGCAAAGATAATAATAAAGATTCTCAAAAGCCACCTGAAAAACCGGCTCCTAAAGCAGAGGTAAGTAATTCTAAACCAGCTCCTCAAGTTATTACAGAAGAATCAACCTCGAACATTTCCGATCCTTTGGAAGAAAGCAAACCGGTCAACTTAAAGCCAGCTAAAAACGATAATATCAGACCACCACAGAAAACAGAATCAATTTCATCAGGAATGAATTTCAGCTTTGATGAATCAGATAATTCCGTCGAAGTCCCAACTAAAGTTCAGCCAAAGGGTGCTAAAGGCCAAGCTAGTAATAAATCAGACGATGAATCGAGCGGAGTTTTAGAATTAAGTGATGAACCATCAATTCCTGTTCAAACATCTACAAAATCTAGAGATATTCCAGCCGCTAAGCAGCCAGTTGTAAATAAAATTGAAGAAAGTACAACAGACGACTTTGGAGCTGATCTTGATTTTTCATCAGAACAACCTCAAGATAAGCCTGCTCCAAAGCCAGCTGCTAAGCCAGCTCCTCAAAAGAGTGCAATCGAAGACACTAGCTCAATGAATTTTGATTTCGATATTAGCGATGACGATGAAGATGAGAAGCCAACTAATACAAAGGCTGATCCACCAAAAGCAAAGACTTCTGCTGCTGCACCAGCTCCAGCTAAACCAGTAGCAGCACCTGCAAATAAGAATCCTGCAGCTAAATCTAATTCTTCGGATATCGATGTTAGTTTAGATGAATCCGATTTTGACTTGTAATTAATCGATTTTATTTGAATTTGTGTATTAATTAAATAATTTTTATAACAAATCGAATTTTCCGAAAGGTTATATTTGACAAAGCAATATTTGGATTATAAGATATAACAGCATTATTATTATACAATTAGATATCAAACGCAAATTCAAATTAATGAAAAATAGCCGTTAAAAAAATGGTAGAGATAAGGATTAGGCAAAATTAATAGCGTTAAGACATAATAATAAATATTTAACATAACAAGTAAATGTTTGTAAAATAAAAAAAAAAATACATGGTAAAATTAAAACAAAGGATAATCGAATGTATTTGTTACATTAATCCCTGGACACTAGAAAATCCAGAAATCCATTCTTCGGCTTCTGAACTTGTTTGAAAATTAATTTGCATAATTCGTTTTTTGTTCGTAAGGTGAATTGGAATTCCTTCACTAGATGCGCAAGCTATTTTAAATGTTGTATTCTTATCAATTTGATAATAACCTTTTTCTGAAAAAGTAATTTTATCTTCGAAATAACGGAGAGAACCATCACTAAGAAGAACAAACCACCTGCGCTTCCAGTTTTTTACGCGCGATCCGAGTTTAATACCCCACCCTGTCTTGATAATCTTTGGCATTTGAAAAAATGATTCACATCTCTCAAAATATAAATTCAATGAATTATTGAAAAAGGAATCAACATTACATGATCTTATAAGCTTGTTTAGTATTTTTATATAAGTTTTTTCACTTTTTGATAAAATTCAATGACTTATTTTTGAATAAAAAGTGACTTGCGGTTACGATAAAGATTATTAAAAAAGTAAAATTAATAATGAATAGAACAAATACTAAAGAATATAAATTGAAAAATATTTATCCAAATTCATCTTTTTCAATAATACTGTACGCCCAGCCAAATAAGGCTTATCGTTTGTATAACAAGAATATCTTTTTATCCTCATTTTAGGAAAGATACACGAGTGAAGGGGAACTTATAACAAGAGTATCAAAACTCAACATGTGATTAAACCTGTGAATGCAAAGTTAGAAAATAGATCCGATAATAAAAATTCGGTCGTCTTATAGCACGCTGAAAATATGAATAGGTTATATATAATTTGAATACAGATGTATGTTCATATCCTATTAATTGTTTTAAGATATATTTGTATAAAAATTCAATTAGAATTTCAAAAACTCTAGTACATTGGAAGACTTTGATAGGCAAAACTTTCTGACTAAGTTTTTACGCGGTAATGATGATCAATAAAACAATAGATATATACATAAGATGAAGCATCAAAATAATCTAAGAATAAAAGTGACAAAGTAAGAAAATAACGGATAAAAAATGACTACCACACCTCCACCTCTTACACCACTACAGCAATTTTTACAAGCCAATCCATTCCCTCTAACATACTTCGACTTTGCTGCCGCTCTTGAAGAAGGACAAAAAAAGAAAATTGTCGGATATTATTATGCTAACGAATATACTCCTAAGCTTGTTCAACAAGTTCTTGAAACCTCGGGATTTAAGAAATCTGATTCTCCAAAGGACTCAGAAGTAATTGTTGGATCAAAACCAAAGCCAGAATTTTTCGATAACATCAAAATAACCCAAAGAGTTGCACATTTCAGCAAAGAATTCGCAATCGGTACAAAAACCGGATTCCACAAGCACATTCTTCAATACCAATCCAAGCAAGATACAAGTTTCCCGTGCTACTTACAAACGTTTATCCTTCCAGATCAAATAAACGAATTCAAAGAGAATGCTGGGACTGGCCTTTGGATACAAAAGCCAGTTGGAAGATCACATGCTCGCGGAATCAAGTTAATTAAAGGAGTTCCTGAATTACCACCTGGTTCTCGTGTTGTTGTTCAAAAATACGCTCAATATCCTATCTTGATAGATAACCATAAGTTCGATATACGTGTTTACGCGTTAGTTCTTTCTCTTGATCCATTATTAATTTACATTTACAATGATGGTCTTGTCCGTATTGCAGAAGCTCAATGGAATGACTCAAATCTTGATCCAAAGATCCATATTACCACAGGACCAAACTGCAAAGTTGAGAATTTCACAAGATTATGGCAAGCTCTTGAAGCTTCGAAGATTGATCCAGCGACAATTCGTTCCAGAATGGAAGACATCATTATCGGTATCATTTGCACTGCTCGTGATGAGTTAATTTCCCAAAAGAACCATAAATCATGCTTCGAGTTATACGGATTCGATTTCCTTCTTACTCTTGATGGAAACATCTACTGCCTTGAGGCGAACGTTACTCCGTCAATGAGTTTCCAGAGTCCAGAAGAAGAAGCTCTTAAAAAGCAGCTTCTTGTTGATACTTTCAACTTGTCTTCACTACCAAAGGAAACACCAGAGCTCGAGAAGCTCTATAATACCATCAAAGAAGCAGACAATAAAGATTTCACAGATTTCATGACAGTCTTATTCTTTGATCAGTACCAAAACCGCACTGGAAATTATCGCTGCATCTTCCCAACACAAGCAAAGAATGCTTCATCTACTAAATACCTTGATCAGCCAACACAAGCTGATTTAGCTCTTGCATCATGGGTTTCTACTCCAGATGAGAAGAAACCTGATAAGATGAAGACATATACAAAAGTATACTCCAAGGTTTATTTTGTTTAATTTATCTTATAAAACAATGTTTTTGTTCTGATAATTTTTGATATCCTTTTTTCAATGTTACTTAAACAGATTTATTTCTATTTCTCAATAGCATGTGTTCTTTACTCCGATGTTATTTGGTGCTTTTGAACCTTTTTCAAATTTGATTCAGAAATTATTGAAAATTTCGATATAAGTTTTATGGGTCAATAAATATGTTTCTTGAAAAGGCAATTATATCAAAAGGCAAATGATAAAAAATTATAAATTATGGCAATTCAGTTGAAATTATGAAGAATTGATATACGAAAACTTAGTCAACAACATATAGGTAATTATATTTTCATCTTAAAAGAGAGCAAAAGTGAGAGTCATGGTCCAGCTGAGCCAAACCGCAAAAAGTTCAGAATTTTGACGGTTAGGACGTCCTTTTTGTTCTATGTCCGCTAAAGGAGGCGCTCGTAAGAAATGGACCAAGGCCACAAACAAGGAGAAACGTGAGTGGGCCGTCATCATCACACCAGAACAGGCTGCTGATATGGCTAAGTCTGTTCCAAAGAACAAAGTCATCTCCGCTGGCAAGCTCGCCGAGCGTTATAAAATCTCCCTTACATGCGCTCGCAAGGCTCTCGAAGCTTTAACAGCCGAAGGCAAGATCGTCCCAGTCATCAACGGCCACGACCTTAAGTGCTATGGCCCACACCCAGATCATGTTGTTGAGAAGGTTGAAGAGGTCAAGGAAGAAGCCAAGAAGCCAGCCGGCAAGAAGGGTGGCAAGAAGCAGTAAATTTTGATTTATATTCTAATTACAATTTCCCAATTTACCAAACTTGTTTTCTCGATAGATTTAGCAAATAAGTTTTGCAGTAAATATATTATCTACTAATTTCTACGCATTTTTTCTTGCTTGTAAGCATATTTTTACGATGCTTTGTTCGGAGACTACTACGATCAAAGACTTTTTGATTGAGAAACAGATCGGCCTTGGGTCATACGGCAAGATTGTACTTGCTAAGCATAAGGCCTCTGGCGCTTTATATGCCATCAAAATGGTTTCTAGAAGGAACGTGCAGAAATCTAAAAGGCTCGAAACAGCTAATATTGAAAAGCGATGTCTTGAGAGTATAGATAGCCAATATGTCGTTAAATTGTATGGATATTTTGAAGATCCCCTTTGCTTTAATTTTGTTTTAGAATACGTTGAAGGCGGAGACATGTTTACTCTTCGCCATGAACTGGTTCCACAACTACCACATATTTTTAAGCAAGTAGTCTCTTCCCTCGCATATTTACACTCGCATAAGATCATCCATCGTGATATAAAGCTTGAGAACATTTTGGTTGATCATAACAATAACATTAAGCTCTGTGACTTTGGATCAGCTAAGATATGTGAAGAAGAAACAAGTACATTCTGCAGAAGTTCATATATCGGAAGTGCTGATTACACGGCTCCTGAAATACTTAACAAACAAGACATTTGTCATGCACTTGACCTTTGGGATCTTGGAATAGCAATATATGCTGCATACAATGGCCATGGTCCATTTTATTCACTAAATCGACTTCAAGTTTTTGATAATATTCGCAATTGCAAATATGCGATGGTCGAAACAATACCTGGAGCTGCACAGGATTTAATATCTAAACTTCTCAAGTTAGATCCAAAGGAAAGACTCGGATATAACGATTTCAGCACAGGATACTCTACAATTCTTTCACATCCATACTTCAATTAAGCTCGTTGGGCATAGTAATCAATATGCTTCTCTTCATTTTCCTTGATTTCTCAAATTTTATCAAAAACAAAAAAAAAGTACATGAATTCTATGATCCTCCGATCGGAGTAAAATGATTGATTACATCTATTAATCATTAACGTGTTTATTTTCTTTGATATCTTAATATTAGATGAATCGTTATTAAATGTTTGTTTTACTAGGATAAACTAAATGGTTTTTTTATCTCTCATGTTTTTGGGACTTCTGGCTTTAAATAAAATCAATCATTTAAGAGATAATTGGAATCAAAAATATAGTTCTTTCTCAATCAACTATCACAAGTTATCTGATCATTAAATGCTGAAAGCACGCATCATTTATTCTCAATTTTGAGAAGATTCATAATTTGTAATTCAAGAACTATTAATAAACACATTTAATAATAATAAACAAAACAATATAATTAAATATTCTTATTATATGAATCACCAATGTATCCGATGAGATTTGCAGCACGACTTGCAACAATAGGTTCTTTACTTGATAGAAGAGGATATAAAGTATTCACAGCGTTTATATCTCTCAATACTGGAGCAAAGAACTGGAAATCACTATCAATTAGTGTAGATAAACAATCGACCAAATTACAATTGAAAGGATAATTAGCAATAACAGTGAATTTAACAACAGCATCTGTTCCTCCAAGTTTAGAAACGCTTTGTCTTTGTTCAAGAGTTCCTAAACCGAAGCATCTGACAATTGCGTAAACAGCTTGTTCTCTTACCCTTGTTTCTTCGTTAACTGCTGATTTCATGAGGCGCTCAAGCAATCCATTCGATAATAATGTATCTATATCTTGTGTTTTCCTTATAAAGTCTGCAAGAGTTCTGCAAGCTTGAATTCGAACGCTGAGCTCTGAATGATCAAGTATTGGGAAGAAATCTGTAATGTTGTCACCAATCTCGATATCAAGCTTAAATAAAGAGGATACAACTATGAGAAGAGGAATCAAAATTGTAGAATCATTTGTTTTTAAATGCGGTATAAAAGCTGGCGCGAGATTGTATTCAACAACCTTGTTTGGATACTGGTCAATGACAAAATGAAGACTCCAAAGTAAATATTTTAATGGAACTACTTGTGTCTGTAGAATATCGCTGCAATGGGCAAATAATGGTTCTGTTTCTTTAATTGTTGGGAGTGGTAACATATGGAACATTCCATAAATGATTTGGCCAGCTAAATCTTGGATTTTTTCATTTGGATGCTTCATTAGTTCTAAAGATATACGAATTATATCATTTTCCATACAGTATTGTCTACTTTCGGCAGATGATGCAGCAATTCCAAATAAACACCAAGCTGCGTGATGAACTATTTGTTCATCTGGATTATTTACGAATTTAAGAGCGATTTTAAGTGCATTTTTGTATAATACTTCGACATTTTCCTTTGCACCAAGGATTACAGCTAAATTATATAATCCTTCACGTTGGCAATTGACAAGCGTATCATTTTCGAGTATTTTCATGACTATTTTGTAGTACCTGTGTCCAGGACCAAGTTCAGGAAGCATTTCTCGTAAATCGCTAGTTCGTACGTTATATAACAAATCTGGAAGTTTATCATATTCTCTATTCTTAAAACATTTCAGCACTTGAAGTATGATTTCAAGTGTTTTTTCATGTTTAAGAGTTCGAATTCTAGCTTGTTGATGTTGCATATTTTGTACGGTACCAAAAGTGACAAAAATAATCGTTTTAGAAAATTTTAATTGAGAGGAAAATCTTCGTACAAAAAAAATTTTTTTATATAAAAAAAATTATAAAATCATAAATGATTAACGACGATTTCTCATGGAAAAGCATTTACAACTATTACTATCAGAAAGGACTGACTGTTTACATCCTAGAGTGCCTCTTTAAAATAATATCATCATTAGTTATTGCGTTTACTCCAATTTTATTATTCGGCTGTCTCAATTGGGAGAAAATGGATTCAGCAAAGACGATTTCTGAAATTATTTTACCATTTCCTAAAGGATGGATGAACTCAAACATCTTTTTCAAGATTTCATTCATTTTGTTTTTGATTTATTCACTAATATTGATTATACAATTTGTTTCAACTCTACCATTGTTCATTAGTCTCCATAAGTACTATTCTAAAAAACTCGGTTTAAGTGATAAAGATTTAATAGTTATCGAATGGAATGAAGTTGTAGAGTCAATAATAGTTTGTGATCCACTCAAAAGTATCTCTACACTAAGTATTGCTCAGCAAATTACTCGCGAAGACAATTATTTAGGCGGAATGGTAGAAGATCAATCAGTTTTTACATGGAGACTACCTTGGAAGAAAGAGATGGAGCAGCTTCCTATGAATAGCTCATTCTTTTACTTCCTTAAGATGTCTTTACAAGGAACGATTTTCAATTCTGACGGTGTCCCTCTTATTTGCGGCGTTCAGAACATTCAAGCAGCACAGAATCAGCAAAAACTCAAATCTCGCTTCCGAATTGTTGGTGTTTTAATGATTTTAATAGCACCATTCGCTTTAATTTACGAAATACTTAATACTATCTTCGCATACATCGAATCAATACGAGCATCTCCTGATGATCTCTCTCTTCGTCAGCTTTCACCCATTGTTAGGTTCAAAGCTCGTGAATTTAATGAACTTCCTCATACTTTCGACAAAAGAGTGATGAAAAGCTATGAATGGGCAGATCTTTATCTCGATCAGTTCAACCAGAGTCCATTAGTTCCTGTTATGAGAACGTTTTCCTTCCTCGCTGGCTCAATAATCGCAATTGTTTTCTTTGTTGGCATAATTTCTGACATTCCAAAAGTTCTTGGTCTAGAAATCTTTGGCGGCAAAACTATTGCATGGCTTATTACTATTCTTGCATCAGTGTATGCAGCCTGCAAGCCGCCAAGGCCACCAACGAATATGTACGGATTAGGCCCTGATGAATTGTTTGTTGAACTCCAGAAACATATTCATTTGGACTTAAGCGACAGTAGAAATTCCCCTCATTCATGGGAAACGTACGATAACGTTGATAGAGCTTATCCTCCAATTTGGAAGCACGCATTAATCAATATCGCAAGCGTAATCATAAATCCGTTCTTGTTTATAGCAATACTTCCTCTTAAGGCCTCAAGCATCGTTGAATTCGTCAGAAGAAATTCAGTTGAAAATTCTGAAATCGGATGGATATGCGCGCTTGGAGCATTTGAGGATCCACAAAGATATAGTGCTTCCCCTGAGCATAGAGCTAGATTAAATAGATCAAATGCTGCTTATGATAGTAACAAAGTTCAGATTCACCTTGAACCTATCAGAGAAGACTCAAATGACCTTCTTAAATCTATATATGGTCAGCCTGCTGAACAAACTCCTGAAAAAGAACCAATGGGAGACGAGAATTTGGTTGGATTTGGAATTGATGCACTTTCTCCAAATGAATTTTATGTTCCAGAGAATGACGCAATCCCTCCTCCACCTGATAGCATGGTTTGATTATGAAAAGTATGATTTATTGTACTATTTTTTTTGACATGTAAAGTAAAATTTTTTTATAATTTGTATTATGAAGAATTTAACTATTTCTATATCCCTGTCTTCATTAAGCAGATCTCCATTGCTTACAGGAACATCGTCATTGTCGGGAAATTCATTTAAATTAACTAATTCCTATTTTTCTCGGCATTTTTCACCAATTTTTTATACAAATTCGAATAGAATCCAATTTCAATCATATAAATCGCAATTTAAGAACATCCTAAGTGCTCCATTATCATTTTCAACGCATCAACAAACGTGGAATTTAATTTATGATTTTAAAACTTCACGTAACTCTTTTATTTTCATTGCTTACACTCAATTTATACATTGTGAAAATAGTAGTGACTTGTATTCCCAGTATGGTGGCGGAATTTACGTTAATTATGGTCTTGATATCGAAACAAAGGTAAAATTTTTATATGTTGGCTTTTACAACTGTACATCAAAGAATGCAGGCGCATTCTATATTTACGCCAAGCATTTTGAATCAAAATACATTTGTTGTTCAAATTGTCGCGCAGATACAATACAAGTTGGAGCCTTAATCACACAAACATCTCAAATCGCCGAATCTACATTAATCCAAAACGGTCTCGTTGAAAATCATTTTAATGACGTTGAATCTCAAGTACCAATGAAGTTTTCATTTGGAAAAATTTCTAGTATTAATACAAATTATACTAATAATCGTCCGCAGTATGCAGCTTTCTTTTCAGTTTCGTATACAAAAGAATTTTTATCAAAATTCGAATTCTTCTATAAAGGAATTGCTAAATATGCTTTCCAAGTTAGCAGAGATATATCTATCAAACTTGATACTTGCATTTACATTGAAAATAATGTTAAAAAAGTTTTTAACATTATTCACTATAAATATATGACAATTAGCGCGAATAACACGATATCAACACATACAGAGTCTGGTACAATTATTCTTATTAACTCTTGCAAATTTGATATTCCAGAAAAAGAAATTAAATATAACAAGAATATTATCTTTAAATTTGTCGATTGCGATTATTCCAATCATGTATTCAATCAAGAAAATAACCAGATAGAATGTAATATCCTTGATCGCTTCGCTGAATACGATAATATCGAAGATATTATTGGACCTGCTTCTTGGCTGCCATTTGTAGGAATCTTAGGCATTATTATTGCTTTGAAGATAATGTATAATGCATGTGTATCGAATTACCAAACTACTGTTAATTTTTCTGTTGTATAATTAATTATGAATAAAATTTGTTTGTTATATAATCATTTCTGAATGTAAAGTTATCTATGTACACAATATTTATGTGAATATGGCCTTAAATAGACAAGATTATAAAATAATATAAGTTTTTGGATGAATGTGTGATATTGCTTTTGACGTTACTATTGTTAGAAAAAATAAATTTATTTAACGTCTGCATCTGCATAGAGATCTGGATATTATCAGGTCGTTCTTTTGCCTGATTTCCAGAAGGGTTTGTTATTAAAGAGGTATTAGTTTGACTTTTCAGCCAACAGAATTGGAAAAAATGGTCACTCTGGGGTTCGAACCCAGGCCCTCGCGGACCAGTGCCTTAAACTGGCGCCTTAGACCACTCGGCCAAATGACCTTTACATTTATTATAAATGTATTATTTTAAAGATTAATGAATATTAGAAATGTACGTTTATCAAAAATTTTGATTTGATTTTTTACAAAAATGACTGATACAGGGGATGATCCCCTCAATATGGTCATTTATAATACTAGAAACAGATTAAGGGAACTTCAAAAATCAATTGGTGCTGAAAATACAGATTATTCAACTCTTGTTTCTGAAATCAAAGATTTATCAACCACATTAAAACAAGAATCTGAAGTAATTTCAGCAATACCGCCACAAACATCAGATGTCATACCTCTTTTCAGACCCACAATTACTACAGCTCGAAAAAAAGAAAAACAAAATGTCCCACCATTAGATGATGTTAGATATAAAGTTACAAAAGCAGCTGTTTTAAAGAAACAATATACAGTTATTAAGAAAGACACAAAAAAATTGCCTACTCTAAAAGGAAACGCAAAATTTCAAGACGCTTCAACTCTAATTGCGAAAGGAATTCTCTCTCCGAGCGATGATTTATCAAATCTATTACCAACTGTTGAACCTTCTTCTGGTCCAACTGGTTCTTTATTATTTCCAAATATACATGTTGATATTGGAGCCGCAGCACGAGAGATACAGAGGAAGAAAGCTTTAAAGACACAAAGACGTCAGATTACAACACCAACTGCTATTCTTACTACACCAAGAATAAATGATTTACCAGAAGAAGTCATAGAAAAGCCAGCTGAAGAGCCTCCAAAACCAAGAATTTACGAAGACTTACAAGATGAGTTTGCATATCAAACACTTCTCGTTGTTCACGGAAAGATTGCTCGTGAAACACCAGATTTTGAATCTTTCCAACGTACAAACACTTCTCGGTGGGAAAGAATTAACCAAATCTTGCTTAAAATCGAGGAAATTTGTGCGATATTTAAACTTTCATATGCTGAAATTGATGGTAGAAAGTTATCTCAAGCATCTTTCTCAAAACAACTTGATATGGATGTAGCTCTTGGTTGTTTGTTAAACATAGAAGAATATGTTAATAAAATAAGAAATCAGGCTGCAACATTAATACAGCGCAACTTCAGACTCTTTCTAGAGCGTCGTGAGTGCAATAATAGGAAGACTCTGTTCCATGCTGCATTAACAATTCAGAATTTCTGGCGCAATCAAAAATCAAAAGAAATTTTCTTAAACGAGATTCGAAATAATATTGAAGAAATTCCAAATAGAGCAATGGATCTCACTAATAATATGTCTGGAAAGTTTAAAGATATCGAAAAGGATCCATATGTCGAAGTGCATGTGATAACAAATCCAATTGATTTCCTTCGAGTTATGGATTTGATGTTTACAAATATCACACTTATACTCATTGTTCATTATCTTCCACAGTCACATATATGGGAAGACTTTTTGGAATATATGGCGCACTGTGGTATTCCAAATGTGAATGAACGAATCAACTTTGTTATCCTTAAAGAAACTTATGGTGGAAATGGAATTTCCAATCGTTTGTTCTTAGACATGGTAAGTGTTAATTACGTGAAAAAATTATTATTTGGTAGAACATCATTTTTAGTTCCTCATTCTGATTGGGATATCGAGAGACAACTATCACTTGATCTCAATATTCCGATCTTCGGATCTATTAAACCTGAAGAAATAGAATCTCGAACAGAAACAACTTCAGTTTTTCGAAAATCAGGAATTGTTACACCTTTATCAACGAAAGAGTATTTTGATATTGAAGAGCTTGGTAATGAAGTAATAGAGCTAATGAGAAGCAATACAGATTTAACAAGGTGGATAATTCATCTTGGTTGCAATCAATCAGAAGACGCCATTGCTTGGTTCGAATCAAATCGAGATATTTTATATAGTCCTGATTCTTTTGAAGAAAAAATGAAACGATCAATTTCCGCTACAACAAAGCCTCAGATATTCCTTCAAAAGATCAGCATGTATGGAGCTACTGTTGAAGCAGTTCCAAACATTGTTTATTCCTTCCCAAGTGTATCACTCTTGCTTACAGGAAATGAAATCAGAGTCATTGGAACATACGATCGAATGCATCATTCTCCATTCAGGTTTGGTGCTCTTGTTGCTCCATCAGTTAGTATTAATGGTATTGAATTAGTATCAATGGGAAGAGCTGTAGGATCAGAGCTTATGAAGAGGAATATAATAGGCTATGTTACTGTAGATTTCATGACATTCCAAGATAAAAATATAATGAGAACTATTGGTTTTGGGATAAGATTGAATAGCTATCCTGCAGCCTTGCAGCTTGCTTATTGTACACTTTCTGCAGGTTACAACGAGCAAAAAAACAAAATTGTTTTATTGCGGAATAATGGACAAGAACAAATCAAAGGAAAGAAGTCAAGATATGTCATAATTCATACTGGATTAACCCATAATGCATTAAATGACTTTGGATCTAAAGATATTAAGAGAAATTGCTTCAATCATGGTTTCATGTTTGATTTGCTTAATAGAACAGGTTTTAAATTGCAATTTTTAGATGCTCCACCAGAAGGTAAAAGTTTCTCCATGGTTAGCGCAACATCTGTCGATGCAGCAATTGCATTGTTTGAAAAATCATATGAATTCATTGTTAGAATGTTATCTCAGAAATGTCCATCAGATGAGAATTCTATTTCTCGAGCATTAATAAGTGCTAGGCATTTCCATTCGCGTGTTTTGAAATAAATTTGTTTATTATATATCTGTGTTTAAAATTTGAGTAATTTTTAATTGTTTTTCAATCAAATATGATCAGAGATAATATTCTTGATTTCCAAATTTTTTCCAAAATCAAAAATCTATATAGAAAAATCTAGAAAAATATTGTTGAATTTTAAAAATATTCAATAATTTGGAAAAAGCGAGAGGAGTTCATTAAAAAATAAATCTAAAATATGATTCAATAATATGTATTAAAGGTAAATATCTCTTTTAGACATAAAATCTATATAAAATTAGAATTCTTGTCACTTTTTCAAAAAAATGAATAAAGATGATTTTCCATTTACGTCGGATGAAGACTTTTTGCTGCTTCAATCATACGTGAGGCATCCAGGAGAATTCAATAAAATTGCTGAGTCTTTTTCTGGTAGAAGAACAGCTGATAGACTTCAAAAAAGGTGGGAAGAACTGAATGAAAACATGTTACCCGATCAACTCGATGTTTTTGATCATTTCAAGAAAGCGGAAAATCAATACAAACCAGAAAAATATTACTATGGTCAAGAATATGAATATGAGACTCCAAATATCGAAGATATACTAAGCTGCTACAATGATGTACCATCATTGGCCCAAAAAACAGAAGGTTTTGAGATAAATTATTCGTCTAATCCCGAAGATGAATGTTCTGATCTTAATGAACATACTCTAGGAACATATTTCGATGCAAAATCTGTTTTAGATATAATAACAAGGAGTTTGCAAGAAACAATTTCCGATGATCATGTCAGGGAAATGCTATTAAGAGATTATAGATTAACTCTTTACATTGAGGGGCAAAAGTTAGCAGTCCATGATCTTACGAGAAGGATTACATTTATTAACGATAAACTTCAGCCAGAAGTTGCCGAAAAAGAATGCCAGCACATTTTGGCTTTTTATAACAAAGTAATGAATTTTGTAAAGCATAAAGCGGCTAGTTACTGTCAACACTCTAATATGAGGATGACTCCAAGTGGTCTTCTTCTCGATTTAGCCCAAATTTTATCTTATATGAGCAGAGTACATTGGCCAACACAAAACTTCAAACCATACGTATACAAATTAAAACAAGAATGCGATATCGCTTACATTTCTACATGTGCTGCAATTCTGAACTATTTAGAGCCGGCAGGTCTTCAGAAATACGATAGATTCATCGACGCGGTCATTATGTACGATCCAGAAGAAAAACTCGATGGACAACTTTTGGCACTTCCTCAGACTTATGTACGACAGAGAAGATACCAGATGAAGCAAAATATCCAACAGATGCCTCAATTTTCACCACAGTAAATTATCTATGTTTGTATTATTATATAAATCTTTGATTATATTATTTTTTAATTTTTTTTTGAAAATTAAGAAATTACCGATCAATAAATGTCATTGCATTGTAATTTAAAGTAGTTTAGAATAATATACTGAGACTAAAGTATTTAATTTTTAAACGCTAAAAATATTATTTGGAAGATGAAGGAAAAAATAATTAACAAATAATAACATGATGTAGTAATACTATTAATGCTTAAACCAGCTTGTTTTCAACAATATCAAGGATTTCTACATCGACAATCCAAGTAGAATCAGGATCAAAGAGTCCATCCACTCCTTGCTCACCATAAGCAAGGCCAGGAGGTATTGTGATACGGCGAGTTTCTCCGAGGCATGCTTGCAATAAGCCTTTTGTAAATCCTGGTATAACTTTCTGTGAATCCATCTTAATTCTGAGTTGATTTCCAGCAGCTCTTGTGTCAATGATTGGATGTAATTGTCCTTCAACGCGGGCTAAAACGTGGCAGTATACAATACTTGTTTCTGTAACGATGCGCTTGCATTTATCTTGGGATCTATTAAAACATCCAATTTTGATATCTGGAGAGTATGGTTTTTCAGTTGAAAATGATGTAACGAGATTAAACAGAACAAAAAACATTAATTAGAAATCTGACAAATAAAATTATTTTACATTTTTATTTATATGACATAATTCAATAGATATGATGATATATATTGTTATTCTTCCATATTAACTATCAGTACCAAAAATAACGATTGTTTGGCACTTTGTTTTACATAGTATAGACAGATTTCGAATTATGAAATTGAATCAAAGCATAAATATGCGATTTCAGGATATCTTACATAAGTGCATGAATGCATATAGGCCGAAACTACTTACTTTCTTAGGATCAATTCAGATCCGCCTATTGAATTCGTTATGGTTGATTTCTTAGGGAATGTAAAAAAAAGAGTAATTAATCAATGGTGAAAAAACTATTCGAGTCCGTTTTCTTAATAGAAGTCAGACAACCAGATATCATCAACCTCGAAGCTATGCACCCACAAGATCACGAACTCTCTGATGAAATGCTTTATTTATCTTCCGCAACAACTCCTTTAATTCCTTTACCGGAAACAAGCTTTGTCTATACATTTAACATGAAACAACTATATTGCCACACTATATACTTTTTCCAATCAGGTGTTTCATACGAAATCATTATATTTTCTGCAACATCATATTGCAAAATTTTCAGAGAGTTTTTAGATCAAGCACTACATCATTTCAAGGAGAAAATAGCAACAGCAAGAGAAAGATACCAATATGTTCTTGATTACCTTTTGAAATGGAAAAATGAAATCGACTCTGAAAAAATAACTCTCCAATTTCCAAACGGAGATGTCGAATTCACACTTCCTGATGAACGCTGCTTCGAAGGTTACAACCCCTCCAAATACTTTAATCTACAACAAGTTAAAGATATTTGGCGCGCACTTTTAGCGGATGAACCAATATTAATTGTTGCACCTGATGCAGAAGTAGGATCATATGCATGCCTTTCAGCCCTTTCTCTCTCAAAGCCAATTGAATACAAAGGTTCTTTCATTTTATGGCTTCGAGAAACTGATCCACGATTCATAGATTTAGTTAACAACAAATCAGAAGTCAAAATTGTTGCTTCATCCAATCCAAACTTGTCAAATCTTAACTATTTCAAAGTAATTATAAATGTTGACAAAGTAAGGGATGATTCAGCGGCTTCCAAGTATGCTTACACAGAGTTACCAGATAGGATGGCCGATATTTTGTCCGTCTGCGTTTCTGTGATGGATCATTACTTAAATTACAATCCATGGGCTGATTTGCTTAATGATCCTTTAAAACAAAAGGTTGTTAAGAGTTATCGCAAATTACTTACGAAACCTTCTATTTCTGTTGATGATTATCTGAAATTTTCTCGATCAAAAACTTTTGAGTATTTCAGATATCGGAACTTAAACAGAGACACATGGCGAGAGGCAATTCTCTCTGGAGATCCGAATTGTCTTACAAAAATACAAAATCCCGAAGATTTACTCAAAATTATAAGTTATTCCAAGGAGCAAAAGAAGAAATACGTCAACGACAAACATGTTTTTTCTGTTCTCAACCAGCATTTGAAAATTGCAAGCCAAAGATATCACGAACTTACAGGATCTGATCCCAAGTTGTGATTCATCTATAGAAGTTTATATATTTATGAATAAAATTTCGTTATGTTAGATTGTTATGTTAATTTTTAATTTTATTTTTCAAATTCAATATATTTATATGGTAATTCACTTTCAATTCCAATAAGAATTCTCACCCAAATTCAAGATACATCTGAAATCTTTTAATATTAAAAAAAAATTAAAATCATATTCAGTAATATATTATTCAATGGCGATGAGGACAAATAGTTTTCATTATCTTATACCAGCTTAGTATTAACGCATTACATTAATCAAAGTTATAAGATAAATTCAATAAAATTATTACTTTAATGGAATTAAAGCCATCCTCACACTGAGGCAGCAATACGAAGCTCAAATGTACTCTCCCAAACGTATAGAATTCGATTATGTAATGAGTTAGAAAATGTAACGCACAAAGTTTAGAGAGCCGTTAAACAAAAAGTGACAATTTCCTCATGACATATTCATATTCATACACTGGCTACTCAACAGACATTGATGAGGAAGCTGCTATGTCGAAAGCTATCGAAATGTCACAAACATCATCAAAAATTGATATTCCTAGCGTTAATCTCAAAGGATGGGGACAAGACGAGTATCTCTTCGTTCTCGATTACTTCAATTCCCTTGGTTTAGAATATTCACAGGCCGTACTGAAATACGAAAGCCAGCATCCAGATATTAAGCTTGATAGAAAAGCACTCGCAAAAAGATATAACCTCGACTATGAAATTCGTACACCACTCATTGTACAACTTATGTCAGAACACCTTGTTAAGATCGAGGAGTAAATTTTGCGTAATTTTTATTTATATTGATAAAAAAATATGGTTTTTCTTTTATTAAACCTGCACTTGTTTTACTTTAAAACAGCATTTTTACTAAATATCACATAATTGATCTTCTTTTCCAAATCGAAATTTCAGAAATATAATTTTTTCCTTATGAAAGTCTAGATGTCACTCATGCGTGCCCTTACATGAATGGGTTGTAGAAAGGCGGATAATTTACTTAGAGTTTTATTTTCTGAACATCATCACGCCTGTACCCGTCTTTTTGGAAGCATGGGAGAAAAGTAATAAGAACACCCTTAAACTCAATTTACAAAACAATCAAAACAGAATTGATGGATTCAAAGAAATATCTCCCTCTCATGACACTCATTTCTGATGATTATCATGTAAAAGAAGATTTAGATGATTAAAGAAATTCATTTTTGAATTTATCAAAGGAGTTTTAAAGGTAATTATCAAAACAAATGCTCTTATCAACTTATATATTATGTTATTAAAATTTCAAAGCCAAAAACCTTTTGCTTGTAGAATGTGAAACAATCAAAATCGTTAAATTTTTTTGAGAGGATCTTCTCAAATTTGAGAATGAATTTCCATTGAAATATGACGCAATCAGAGGAATGCTGACTTCCTTTAATACAGGCCAAATTGGGCAAATCAGAAAATATTTTGTGGAGAGTGATCAGGTGTCAGAAATACCTCTCCTCAAGTTTGCAATTCCAAGTGAAGTGACAGATTATTAAATTTTAAGAGTCAAATTTTTCGAAGATGTATTCTTATGCGTATCTAGAGGGAGAGCCAAATTGGAGAGAAAACAAAGATGCTGAAGGATTTGATTTCATATCAACAGATTTCTGTTCTGAAATCATTGAAGATTTTAAATCGTTAAGAATCTTACGTCTTTCAAAAACAAAAATCAAAAATTTAACTCTCAAAGGCCTTCCAAATCTAGAAGCAATTGAACTAATTAAATGTGAAGAACTTCTTAAATTTACTGTGCTCAATTGTCCGAAACTCCAAGCTATTGATGCTAGTTTCTGCACTGAATTGTGCTCAATAGAAGGGAAATTCCCAAAAGTTGAATATTTTTCATGTCCAGCGGCAAAGATCTCTAAGTTACCAAAAATGCCTAATCTTTTATATCTTAATATTGACTGGTGCAATAATTTGCGTCGTGTTGACATAAAGGCTTTCAAGAATCTCGAAAAATTTCACTATTTATCATATGATCCTGGAGAATATTCATTATCTGACATTTCTTCTCATCCTAGCCTGCGTGTTTTCCAAATATCGAATACAAGATTTACTTTCGACAAATTTAAATCGAAATCGAAACTAAAATTCCTCTGTTTTGATCAATCCGAATTCAAAGGTGATCCTTCTATTATCCCAGACAGTGTTTTTGTTATATTGTCAAGAGGAAACACAAGAGGTGTTTATTCAGAACTTGGTTTCCTCAATTGTGACCGCACAATGAAATTATTGTATGGTCCATGGGGAATTCCACCCAATGAGAACAAGATCCTCCCACCAGTACCCAGTGTATTTACTCCACCTGCTGAGTTTGATCTCAAAATTGCAAGCGATTCTATTGCAGGCGCTATTTTCGGAAGCGCTATGATGGACATGATTGGATTAGGTGTTGAATTCGCAACAAGAGCAATAGCAATGATGAACTTAAGTCATCCTTTAGATATTACATGGACACATCCATGGATGTCAACACATACATCATCATTTACTAGAGGAACAGCAACAGATGATACATCACAAGCTGTTTTAATTATGCGATCTCTTGTTAGAGCAAACGTAAACAAAACCAAAGAAGAAGACATGATCAAAGTTGGAAATGCTTTTATTGATATTCATGACTTTGCAGAGCGTTTGAAAGACTGGATGAAAGAAGGCCATGTTGAGCATAGAGATGGTGGAGCTCCTGATTTTGGATCAACAACAGGAAGAGTTTTATCAAGGCAAATTTTTGTTAGTGATCCTTTCCAAGTTTCAAAGGAAGTATGGGAAAAAACAGTAAAATAGCTTCTAATGGTGCAGTTATGAGAACAACTCCTGTTGGTTGTTTTTGTTTTTGGGATGAAGAATGTGTTGCAAAAGCTGCAGAAAATCTGTCGAAAGTTACACATTATGATCCTAAGTGCGCTTATTCAGCAGTTTTGATTTCATTGATTATATCCAGATTAATCAAGAGTAAATCATCTCCCAACTACAAATTTGACTTAGACAAAACTATTGAAGACGCATTTACATTTGTCGAGGGATCTAACGAAGAAAGAGATGAAATAATGAAATATTTATCTGTCAAAGAAATCGAAGAATTAGACTTGGAAAATCGTGATTATATGGGATATACACTTAGAACTACAGGTTCTGCAATCTGGGCATTGCGATACACAAATTCTATTACAGAAGCTATAGAAAAAGTCATCAGGGAAGGTGGTGATTCTGATACAAACGGTGCAGTTGTTGGTGGCGTTCTTGGTGCTAAATACGGTTTCTCACAACTTCCTAAAGATATTCTCACTTACATGTTCAACGGACAATGGTTGTACAACGAAGTCGATCCATTCATGCGTATCATGGGCATTGAACCTCCTCCATCATTTTGGAAAAAGTAAAACTAAAAATTTATTTTGAAACTTTTTATAAATTCACGTCATGAACTTTTTCATTTCAATGAAAGAAAATCAATTTCGGAAAAAATATCTTATGATCCTTCTTCTTTACGAGCTAAAACCTCTTTGCGTTCCCAATGATCTGATTGAGCTTCTTCAGGTGTAGAAAGACATGTTTAAATTTTTCTGAATGATTCTCTCAATACTTTTTAAATGATTGGACGTTATTAAAATGAGCCGTATTCTGATATCAGAAATAATTGCAACTTTATATGAAAATGATAAGAAATAAAAAAAAAAAAATTATCCAGAATCACGATACTTTTATTCCCGCACTTAGCAGATGGCATCAATAGCAGCCTTGATGTCTGCAACCTTGTGCTTGAGAGCGAGGTTAACAAGAACTCTGAGCTTGATCATGTCATCACCCTTGACGACGCCATACTTCTCTGTGAAGTAGTGGAGGACCTCGAAGTATTCTGGTGTGATCTTGCCGCACTTAGCACGGAGAACGTTCTTTGTCTCTGGCTCGAGGATTTCAGCGATAGATGTGAGTGTGAGATCGAGCTTTTCAGCAGCAGCGATAACCTCGTGGAGAGCAACCTTAGCACGGCCAGCGATCTTAGCATCTGTTGACTGAGCAAGCTGGTAGAGGGTGGACTTTGTAGCGAGGTAGTGTGGGATGATGTCGATCTTAGCATCAGCCTTTGGAGCAACAACCTCGTTTGGTGTGCCGAGGAAGTCGGAGAGCTTGAGGTTCTTCATGTTGACATCACCGTAGTAGCAAACGTGGGAGCCTGTTGTCTGGGCCTTGACCTTTGTGTAGAGGTTGCCGATTGTGTTCTGTGGGTTGGAATCGAGGTAGGCCATGAAGTAGTTGGAGAATTCGTTGGAAAGATATGCGCCGACTGTGGAATCGTAGACAGCAGCATAGGATGATTCATCATCGTTAGCAGCTGTGATTGTGCACATGTTCTTAGCACGGAAGACAGCAGCGACGGAGCCGGAGTAGCAAGCTTCGATACCGAAGAAGAGCTTGCCGTAAAGTCCCTTAGCTTCCATTGTGTCGAAGGCCTTAGCAAGTGGTTCAGCCTCGATGTAGCCTCCTGGAACACCATCTGGAACACCAAGAATGCCTGGGCCACCGTGGTTATCGTAGTAGATGTAGACGTTATCGCTTGTTGTGGACTTGAGTGTTGTAAGGACTGTGTAGAACTGGTCAGCTGTGACGGAATTGTGAGCGTAGTTGATCTTGGAGGAACCTGGGTAGATGTTGACGTGCTTAAGTGTGTGGAAGACCTTGCCTCTGAATGGGTTTTCAGATGATAAAGCAATATCATCATAAGCCATCATTGTGATGTGCTGATCATCGAATCCACGCTTAACAAGTTGCTGGTACATGTTGAAGATATCGGCCTGGTGGCGATAGTTGTAGAAGTCGTTGGAACCAGCAATAAGAACTGCGAATCTATCACACCTTGCGAGCTGAAGAAGGCAGAACATTTATTGGTAACTGCTCCTCTCAAAATCAAAATTTTTCAGATTATCACTTCACTTAGTTATACTCAAATAGTTAATTATAGAATATGCTGTAGATGATCTATTTCATTACCTTTTAACTCAAAATTGAAACAAACCGTATTTTATGGCTTCTGAATTTTATCTGAAATCGTGAGTTAAAAAGATATATATGATTAATACTGATCAATTTGATTCATTTTGTGAGTTGACGTATCAATTTCATGTACTCTCAAATTTGATTTTTCATTTTTGGGAATCTGTTTTATTAGGGTATTTTATATAAATTATAAGCTGATCATTGATGTCACTTTACTGTCAAATTTTCCATTTCAATAGATCTGGATTAATATCCATTTGGTAACATAGGTTTTATAATTCTCATGATATCGTTTTTATATTTTTGGAAAAAACAGCGACTTCAGTTCAAATGCGAATAAAAAATTTATTTCAAAATCTAACAGATCAAATGAAAACTCATGTATACGAATCCTAGTAAAAATATATGAATGATTAATACAAACAAACAAAGAAAAATTTTTAATCAAAACTTGGAAGATATCTCTTGTTCACTGTTTTGTACTGAATTTATCATTAAAAGGTCTTCAGGAAGTTCCGGTGACTTCTGACAAGAAATGGAGAAGTAAGCAATCAAAAACAGTGCTAACAAAAGTAATAAAACAATGACAGAATAAACAGCTCCTGTTATTTTCATCGAAATATTGGGTTGCACTTTAGTTGTTGGAACAGGAGTTGCATGTGGTGGTAAGTCAAATTGCACGTTATCAGCAGGAACAGGCAAAAGCATCAAGTCCGGTGAATAATCTCTTGATGATTTTATTAATAACTTTCCATTTTGAGGTTTTGGAATAATTATCCTATAAGTAAATGATGTATTATATAAAGAGTCATCCAAATGTACCTTAAACTCAGAACTCAATAAAGATATCATAATTAACTGTAAATCAACAAAATTTGTTTCAGATTTAACAGTGAATGGTTCTCTCCAGCCTTCATCTTCAAATTTGGCTTGTATCGATTGGAAACTCGTCGAAATCTCTAAGTTCTTACCTTTTTCTGTTACGAAATACAATGATTTTTCTCTCAAAATCAAGGAAATGAATCTTTTGTCCAAAGACAAGACAACATTCGTATTCTCTCTATCAACAAGGAAGTTGAAGTCGTCTATTGTTGGTTTAGTAATGAAAAACTGTGTGACTTTGAGCGAAACATTGTAAAAACTCGCTGAAGAATCTTGTAATAAAACTAATTTGTAGACATTCAGAGTTCTTGGATGATTTGCAATAAAACTACAGTCACAGGATAGTGTTATATCATGTATGTAGCCGGAATATATTGATGCATCAAGGATTACGTTAGTTTTTCCATCAATTACTAGGAAATTATTAAGATTCACTAAATTATGCATTAAAATGACAGGCGGTGGCTGATCATGAGAGCTGGCTATACGTAAATGAAGTGTTCCTGTTTTTGTACTTGCATAAATTTTGAAATCTTGATCAACTTCTCGGATTGGGATGGCCAATGTAGTTAATGATGGACAGGTACTTCCTGGTGCGTATAAGCAATATTCGCCACCTGTTGAACAAAAAACAGTGTACTTTCCAACGTCAAAGACGATAGATGGCCAAGTTGGAATTTCTGAGTAAAAGTGAAGTTCCCCGAGACCACTGATTGGGAAATTGTATGGTTGGAAGAAAGCAGGGACAAAACTATCCCAAGAATAGCCGAAAGTGATCTTTGCACCATCATTAAAAGTGTCCAGGGAGAAAGGAAGTTGTAAGTTCTCTCTGTTTCCTATTGGCTGGTAGTCAATCCTCAGATTTGTTGAGTAGCTGTAGAATCTAACAACTTTCATGTACTGTTTTGAGAAGTTTAAGTTGTTATTTACCAACACATACGAACCTGCGCACAAAAGTTTATCAATTTGTGCATACAATCTGATGATTCTTTCAACACAAGTTGGATAATTCAAAATAGGAGTGAGCATTGTGATGGAATTTCCACTATCTTCATCGAGAATGACCGAATACGTAGCTGCTATCATCGCGCCTTTCGTTTCTATAACGGAATTAGTCAAAATTAAAGTATTAACAAGGATAGGATTGACAGAAATGATTGTAATCGATACATCTACAAGCTCTAGGCTAGAAACAATAGGGTGAAAGTCTTCTTGGACCAATCCTAGCGTTGCTGGAAACGGAGAATCCAATAATGAAGTAAAAACAACGACTTTTTTCTCTAACAAGGTGATAGAAATGAATGGTTTAGCGAAGTCACTCGCTGTAGTTAAGTAAAAGTTAATATAATTATCAACCGGATATATTTTATCTTTTATTGGATCTGCTGTATGATATTTGTAGATTTGTGCATCATAAGGACACAAATAGTCCATTTCTGTGTCTGATGATAAGCAATATGATCCATTTGGCTGAGAAAATACAGTAACATTTGTTATTGGAATAAAAAGTGAAGGTAATGCTGTCATTGGCGTAGAAACAATGATTGTGTTATTAGGGTTATCTGATTCGAGTTGACATTTGTACTTCTCTTCGAGTGAATAAAACGAATCATCGATTCTAAAAATGGAATCGCCTTGTGACTCAGCAAACTTAATTTTAGATGGGAAGTTTAGATCAACAACATGCTTTGATGTCATTAAAAGTGAAACATTTTGAGGATTTACAACAAGTATGTCGTAAAACAGAGTTTTTGGTATATAAGTAGTTATTTCATGACCAACTTGATTGAAAGAGAAAGTAAAAGTAACTATATTCTTTCCGAAAGTAAGGTAAGGTTGGATCGCATTTGAAATGACAATAGTTAAATTTTGAGTGTACGGTGAATACTTATACATGAAATTAGGTTCAATGTTGAAATAGTCAATATATACGTGTTGATATTTTGCTATATTTTGCAAATAACCAAATAATGAGTGCTCAAACGTTATATTTCCAACAGTTATATCGCTTGATACACTAATTATTGAATATTTAGCGTGTATTTCATTGATATCGGTCTGGGAATATAAATAAATGTCTTGCATAGTCAATTGATCGATGTTTACGTATAATGCTCCTCCAATACTAACGTTGGACTTCGATGTAAATGATGTAATATATATTGAAAGCTGTTGTAAATCATCTGGAACTAAAGTAACTTGAGTTCCTTCATATTTGATTAACTCATAGCCTGCTGGGCATTCACTGTTTGGAATCTTGCTTACCAAGCAATACTTCTTCCAGCATAAACAAAATAAGATGTATTCCCATAACATTTATATTCGGTTTTTCGGCTTTTGCTTTTGAAAATTATGCTTGCAATAGAGTAAACTTAAAGAAAATTTAACTTAATATCAATATCAATGCAGAAATTAAATTTTTCATAATTTTTCATAAGAATTTCATACTTTATTATCAAGAAATCAATCGGAAAATGGTCCTATTGACATATTCTATTTGTGCCATTCTTATTTTTAGTATATTTTAACATAAAATTCTTGATTTTGCATAAAAAATAAGGATTTAGATAATAATAGAAATATTTCTAATAAAATTTAATCTTTTGGTTCAGAAGCTGGTTCTGGAGTTGGTTCAACTGTTGGATATTCAGCTGGTGCTGCCTTTGGTGTTGGGATTGCAGATGGTTCAACCTTTGCTGCTGTCTGAGCGTTGGCTTGCATGTAAAGAATGCTTGGAAGAATAGCAGCGATATTAATTGCCAAGAAAACGATCCAAAATCTGCAAATGAACTTGACAATAAATATTCCAACAATCCAGATAGCAGCAATGGCAGCAATGTTGACAGGTGGGCTTAATATCTTTCCTTCAAATAAAATCTCGAAAGCTTTCTTAATGTAGACTTCTGCGTTTGCAAGAATTGATGCTACTAATTCTAATGTCTGTTCTTCTTTACCATTTGGCTCTTGATGGAAAAATGCCAAAATTTGTGGAACTAATGCAGATAAAGCGAGTATTAAATAGAATGTTGATGCGACTAATAATGCTAAAACAAAGAAGCCGAGATCATATTGGTTGTAAAGAATTAACAAAATGTCAATTAAAGCGATTGATGGGAATAAAACTTTTGGACTGTGATCTGTTAACGCGTTGAAAATAGCAATTACGTATTTATCATACTTTCTAAGCCAAATTTTAATGAATTCAGTACGATCTTTATCTTGATTGCTGTGACTTTCTTCAAAACTCATTTTTGAGAACGATAAAATGGAAAAATGTAATTTTTTTATTTCAAGTGAACAATCTTTGCAAAAGTGATCTACATTATCTTAGAAATGGAATTTGCTGGAAAATTAATGAATTCGAAGAAAAATGAAGGAAAGAATGAGAAATTGAGCATCGAAACTATCATGAATGAAGTAGCCTAGATGTTAGACCACTTCTTTTATTAATATTTTAAAGTAATTAATTTAAATCATATTGTTATTTGGTAATAATTAGACAAAATGTAAAGTATTAGTGAAATTTCATCCTTTTAGATCAAAGATACTTTATATTTTGAATGTCAGTCATTGGAAACAAGGAATATTTGATACAAATCTCAATTGCATCATTTTATATTTCAATTGAGATATGTTTGATGACAGCATCCAATATATGTAACCTGAAGTATTAATTATTGGCTGAGAACAGATAATGTTCAATTCGATAATTTTGATAACTTGTTTTATTTTATTTTAGCTAGCATCATACTAAAAATCAATTATCTGAATCACTCTCATGGTCAACGTTATTTTGTATATGGAATTTGATAATAATTTGGTTATCAGCTCGTTTATCGAAAGTAATAATATCACCATCTAGTAACTGAACGTATTGGCAGCTAGGGATCTGCTCATCATTAATATATGTACCATTTTTAGTACCCATATCAAAAATATAAGGAGTAATTTCGAGTTTTTCTTGATTTTCATTAGCTTTTACGTTTCTAAACTGAATGACACAATGTTGTCTACTAATAATTTTGTGTGTAAACCTGATATCGCAAAAATGTTCTCTTCCAATAAGTGTTGCAGGTTCTTTAAAGTCATATGTAATAATATCATCGCTATTGTTTACAGATATATGCATGTAATACAAATTTTTATCTCCTGGTTCTATTGAATCAAATGGAAGCAAATACTTGGTCTTTTTTTCTTTTCTAACTAGAACCCTCTCGCTATACAAGCTTTTTATATTGAAATCTGGTAAATTTTTACTTGTAAATGGCTTTAACTTCTTTGGTTCGTGATGCATTTTTGAAAAAAATGACAAAAATATCAGGTCTAGAGATTTCATTGCAAAATTGGAGGCCAGTATTAGTTCAAATTTACTATAAAAGATGTATCGAATACATTTATTTATATTAAGCTACTATTCATATAAGTTGTTTAAATATTTCTTTATTAAGGCTCCACCTTCATGCATTCAATTTTGAGAGGGCATTCAATTAAGATTTTGCCTAAAAGCACACTTGTAGCCTCATATGTTTGGTTTTGGAATGAACAGACACCTGATTCATCATCTACATGATGAGAGGGATCTATTGGTAGCACTCAAATTGAATAAATAACTAATTTGAAAAAACTTGGTTTTTTTCGTCCAAAATCTATTTTGGAAAAAATTGACATATTTACATCGGTGAGAAAAATTTTTAAAATCTAATTGCAGCATGACTAATCGCAATATTAGGAGAAACTAATTATCACATTCTTTTTCATTTTTATGAAAGATACAATTTCTCAAAACCCATCCACGCGCATAAAAAATTGAAATATCCCTTATAAGACAGGGATTCCAGAGAAACAAAAGTTTCCCAAATCTGAAAAGTAGATTGCCAATTTCCAACAAAAACTGGAATTTGGCATTAATAAATATTAATATATTATTTATATAATATCAAAATTGTAATGATGAGTTCAGTTTTTGATTTGAATGATCTAGAAAATTTCTTGATTTCTATTATCTTCAATCAAGGGTTGATATGAAATAGATAATATTTTAAAATATATGAAGGTTGTATTTTACTGATTTTTTATTAGTATAAGCAATATAATCTCAAAATACTAATAAATTCGAAAATCAAGAACTTTTGTATATAAATCATGCGAGTCAACGGATAGAAAATAATAGTAGTTCAACCTGTTTCTTAACATTCACAAAAAATCAGCCCTTGGGGTGGGGGCGCGATCAAATACTTGAAAATTAATTTTGGAGTCCATAAGTGCATAGTATAATGGTTAGAATTCCCTATAACAAATCTTGTTTTGAAGTTCATTTGCCGAACACAAAACTTTTTTTCGAAATCGAAATTATTTCAAAAAAATATATCTTATTTTTTGCTTTTTAAGATAGTCATTATACACAAAATATTAGTAAACTATTTTTATTTGAATTACTAAAACTTTCAATTTTTTTATTCTCTGATATAGACTCTCATATGATACATTATGAAATATATATGATTTTCTTCTGCTATTAGTTATATTACAATGAATACTAAATCATATATCAAAGCTAACTCAATAATTTTAGTGTATTTCAATTTTCACTACTACAAATACTATCTTAAGAACTATTTAAACTTTCCCATGCTTTTACCCAGCATAATATAAAAATATATCCTTTTATACGAATTATAAAATTTGAAATAACGAATTTGATAAATTCATACCTACATTATGAAATATTTAGTAATTCACTATACAAATACATCTTTGGAGTTTCATAAATTTTAAATTAGAATGATTGTAACATACAATGAATTCGAAATTTTATGTAGAATCTTGGTGGATGATTAGTATTCATTGTAATATAACTAATAGCAGAAGAAAATCATATATATTTCATAATGTATCATATGAGAGTCTATATCAGAGAATAAAAAAATTGAAAGTTTTAGTAATTCAAATAAAAATAGTTTACTAATATTTTGTGTATAATGACTATCTTAAAAAGCAAAAAATAAGATATATTTTTTTGAAATAATTTCGATTTCGAAAAAAAGTTTTGTGTTCGGCAAATGAACTTCAAAACAAGATTTGTTATAGGGAATTCTAACCATTATACTATGCACTTATGGACTCCAAAATTAATTTTCAAGTATTTGATCGCGCCCCCACCCCAAGGGCTGGTTAATATTTTATTATCTAATGATGATTGCTATAAAATCAAATAAAAGTAAATAATTTTTGATTATTGTTTCAAAAAGTTTAGTTTCAAAAGAGATTAATATCAATAACGCTCAATCTTGACCTCAAACGTATGACTTCAACATTATCCTGTATGTCTATTAGAAAAATATGATCGAGAATAAGATATTATTGAATTTACATATGATATTTGTTAAAATTATGACAAAAACTATAAGCTATAATAAATTACAATAAAACAATCAATTCGTCTAATCTTTTGAATTGATTGGTATAGAATAAAATGAAACAAACTCATATTATTATAGATGATTTAAAATATGCAAAAAATATTCAAAAGAATTCTGTATAGTTTCAGAATTGTGCTCTTTATATGTAATAAAATATATTCTAATGTGCATATATGATTTGTAGAAGTTATTTATCGAGAATGAAATAAATATTGCAAATAACGAAAAACAATGGTGCAGCGTAAGAGCTTATTGGTAAACAAAACAAATAAGAGCAACTTTCAATTTTTCGAAATTTATTAGATCTTGGAGGTAATTACCAAGGTTTTCGACGAAAAACCCTTTTTTATGCTGTTGAAGCTATAGTTTCATTTGGTCATACTCCGACCCCTTGACTTTGGGTATTCGTGGAGTTATGGGCCATTAAAAAAAAGGAGGATTACGACCCTCTCAATTTATGAACGTGGAGCCTTAAATGATGAAATAATAAAACTATCTATAGGGTTGCAATCTTGGAAGAAAAGTGCGGAATTTCCAGATTCTAAAAAATTAAACTTCTTGAAGACGATTAAAAAAAATATTTTTTTGATTTAAAATTTGTCAAATGAAACTTTTTTGGATTTTTTTACTCCTATTTCTTCACTGCCAAAATATGTGATTATACCCTTAGATGTATTTTCATACCTTTTCTAAGATATATATATAGCAATGATACATACATAATCGTCACCTGGAAATTTCTTTCGGGAATTTTGCAAATTACCTCAGACTTTTCAGAGGATTGAGTGGCAACTCAATCCTCTGAAATAGTCTGTGGTAATTTTTAGTCTCTACACTATTTCAATATAAGCTCCATTTTTAAACAGTTTTTAAAAATCGAGCATTGAAAAGTGTGATGAGACTCCGTAATTTCCAACTTTCTCAAAATTGAATTGAATTAAGAGATTTTATGAAAGAAAGAAATTAATAACCACTTTTTGGAAGTTAATAAAAATATGCTCGAATTAAATGTGAAGGCTGTATTCATTAAAAAAATCATTATAAAGGTTTGAATAGAAGAAGAAGTTTTTTCAAGGCAAAATGTTTTTTAATGTAAAATCATTCATAATCATATAAGGAATATATATATTTTCAGAATCATTGAAAATTTTGAATTTAAGAAATTCATTTTGGAAGATATTTTGAATAGTTTATTTTATTCCATGGCCCAAGAAAATGTGCACGCCAGAAATATCTGCTCGACAGATTTCTGATTAAATTGCAGATATACCATGGATTGTTATTGAGTCTACTTAGAAATCTATAAGAGATTTATGGAATTCCAGATTATCTAAAATTATTCATTAATTTTATAATAATGATATTATATGAATATTGCAAATTATTAATCGGTATTCAAATCAGTATTTTATATATTTTTCGTTAATATCCTAATTTGAAAGAAAAGAAAATGAAATATGAGTGACTATAATAGAGTATGTATTGTATGTACATGCGTTACATAGTATTAAAATTGCTTAATGGCTTAAATTTCATAATATATTCTGAAAATATGATTATATCACCAAGTTAAAGATGTAATTGTGATCACTCACCCAAGTTAAAATAAAAAAAAAAAAAAAAAAAAAAAAAAAAAAAAAAAAAAAAGAAAAAAAAAAAAGGTAGTGGGGCTTCCAGGCACTTCGTGCCTTCTAGCCCTGAAGATGTTTAGTATAAATGAAGTTTTTATTCGGAGGGCTTCCAGCCCATAAGAAATTTTTCCCAAGACCCAAGAGGAGGACCGAACCCCAGCCGACCAGCCGTTGACTTTTTTGTCAAGACTTCTTCGTAAATGTTTTGTCAAGACTTCTTCGTAATGAGCGTAAATGACCAAAAAAAAAGTTTATGTTAGAATGTTAGATCTAACACGTTTTCTAACATGTTTTCTAACATCGTAGAAAACTCATGATTTCATCGTAAATGCTTTGTCGAAACTTCTTCATCGTAAATGTTTTGTCAAGATTTCATCGTAAATGTTTTGTCAAGACTTCTTCGTAATGAGCGTAAATGACCAAATTTCAAGAGTTTTCTACGATGTTAGAAAACGTGTTAGAAAACATGTTAGATCTAACATTCTAACATAAACTTTTTTTTTGCTGTAAATTTCATGAAATTTCAAGACTTCTTCGTAAATGTTTTGTCAAGACTTCTTCGTAAATGTTTTGTCAAGACTTCTTCGTAAATGTTTTGTCAAGACTTCTTCATCGTAAATGTTTTGTCGAAACTTCTTCATCGTAAATGTTTTTAACTTCACTTAAAATGCCACGTAAGCTACGTAAGAATATACGTAAGAGGAAGGGAGCATTGAAACATCCAATAGTAAAACTGACACCACAACAACAGTTGCAACAACAAATGCTGAATGACCCCACTATGTTGCAACAAATGTCAAGCAACCCTATGCTTTTAAACCGAGTTATTGGTGCACAGAGTGGAGGTTTAAGAGCGGCACTTTTAGCGAAAATGGCAGGCTATGGTGGAGCTGCAGACGGAACAGCTTATAACCCTCAAAGTCAAATGAATTTGAGTTCACTCAAAAATCAAATAACAGATGTCAAAAAGTCAAACATAGACATACAGAAACAAATAAGTGAAAACGAAAAGAAACTAGAATATGACAGACACACAAAGAAACTCAATGAGTTAAACGTAGAGAAAAAGAAGAAAGAAGAACAACTGAAAGAACTAAGTACAGAGGAATATGCGAAAAAAGTGTCAGAAAAAGCAGCAGAAGTAGCAAAAATGGAACAAGATGTCATAAATTTGAAAAACCATACTACTCAATATAAAGTACTGAAAGATGAAGAAATAAAACAAAAAGCCCTGAAGACATATATGGATAGCGATGAGTATAAAAAAGAAGTTGAAGCAAATGTAAAGGCAGAAAAACTTTTACAGTTGCAAAACCAAACCGTACAGTATGAAAACTTAGCACAAGAAAGTAAAAATAACGACGCGGCTATGCAAAAGGCAATGAAAAGCTCAGAATATATAAAAGCTAACAATGACTGGTTAGATGCCCAAGCCAACGCTAAAGCAGCCCAACTCATAGGGTCAATAAGGACAAAAATACAAGCGGATGAAGACAGTTCAAATGAAGCTTTAACAAATGCTGACTTTAAGAACGCCTTCGAAGCTCTTCATAGTAAGGTGAAACAAGTGAACGACTTCTCATCTGGAAAGAAACTGAAGTCTGAAGGTTTCGACAACGAGTTAAAAGAAGTAGCACAAAATATGACGAAAATAACAGATGCAGCAACGAGACAGGCAGTTCAAAGTGCCTATGACGCCGTTAGAGCAACTGTTGTGAAAAGTCAAGAAAAAGAGTTACAACAGACCAAAACAGACCTAGTAAATGCTTTCTTAAGAACGAAAAGTCAGGTAGGACATTACGCTGCAGATGGAACATATGTGCCAGCTGGTGGAACTTATATACCACCAAACCCTCCAAGAGAAGCACCTGCACCAGGACTACCTAGAACATTTACATCGTCACATGGACACAGACACAGGCATGCACCAAAACCAACACAACAACCAACAGTTCAAAACCCTGCACAACAACCAACAGTTCAAAATCCAGCACAACAACAACAACCAGCACAGCAACCACCTCCACAACCAGCACAACAACCACAAACAGAGCAAGGACATAAAAGAAGTAGAGAACAAGGAAACCAAGAATTCTTAAAAATGCTTAAAGAAGAGTGTGGTTTCCCAGATACTATTGACTTTAGTGACAGATATAAAGAAGCTATTGAAAGTTCAAGGATGGAAATACTGACCCGAACCTATTTAGCTTTATGACTCAGCACCAAATGGGATATAATTTCAAACCTGGAAAATACAAGCTCGCTAAGGGATATGATTTAATAGCATATCATCCAAATGACATGAACGAATTTACTCCGAGATATTTGATGTCAGAGCTAAATGACAATACAACTTTCGTCATGAAACGCGTAAAAAATAGAGACGGAACGAAAGAACAAAAGCTTATGAATGCGGATGACGTAGATAGGGAAATTGTTGAAAACGGTCTCGGAATATATGAAATGCCAGCAGATGAGGTACAAGAAACTCCACAGGAAGAAGTTCAGATACAACCAGACATGGAAGAAATAGTTCAGCAACAACAGCTAGAAGAGCCTGAAGGAAACGAACAAGTCACTCCTTTGGAAACTAACTTCACAGAACTAGATGAAGATTTGGAACAGCCGAAAAATCTTGACCCTCAACAAGAGCATGAGGTGAATATGGAATCTTTCCAAGAGTCTAAGAAAGATTCGGCTGACATAGTAGAAGAATATCGAAAAATGTTTGCCGACATACAAAAGACTCCAACACCAGATGAAAATATTCAGCATAGAATGGAAGTACTGAAAAAAAATGTACACAAATACAACAACCCTTTTTACTTACGAGCATTTAACGTTCAATCTTCGGATGAACTCGGTGAAGATAAAAGGTTAAATTTCAAGAAAACATATAGAAATGAAACATTGTTTAAAGTTCATTCAGAACCTAGCCAATATGGAAACAAACCTACTTTTGTTTCTGCAGACGATGGAACTACAATGAGATGGGGTCATAAAGCTAATTCGGATAGGTGGTTCATAAACTTACAACCTCAATTCCAAGAAGTTGTAGACGCAATGGAAGCGAATGGTGAACGAGATATAGCTGGTATTTTCAGCGCGGCTTTAATGCCATTGAAAGATATGAAAGATGCAGATATTTTGGACCAGTATGAAATGAACATGGCTGATGGAAATATAACACCTGACGTTCTAGAACATTTATCTCAAAGAACTACACAGAACCATAGAGATGGTATATTTGGTGAAGAGTTTAGAAAGAAAGTTAGGGAGAGAGAAGGAAGAGAACCTATTGTACATGACCTTGCAAACGAAAGTTTACAAAATGTCATAAAAACTTACTTTGCAGACAATGAACCGAGAAGGGATGAATATTTAAGAAAACTCAAATGGACAGTACCAAATGAAATGTTAGTATTGAAAAACATGTTCCTTGACAAAATAAAACCAACTACAGAAATAAATGACGAAAGACTGAAAGATTGGGTAAAAGCTTTCCCATTCACAAAAGATATTGTTGGTAACATGGAAAGAAAACCAGAATGGCTACAAAAACATATATTTGGAAACGAGCTTATTCCATATGGACAGGCACTGTTTGAAGAGCTTGAACCTGAAACTCAGGAAAGAGTCATGCAAACAATACGCGAAGACTCAAATACAGACTATGACAAACTCTTTCTAGGATATAGGTTACCTGAGATGGGCGACCAGAGCCAAAAGGCAAAAAGGACATGGGAAATTTGCAACATACTAGATGAACATAATGCAAAGATGCAACAACTTCAAGCAGAGGGCAATGAAGGAAAAAGAAGAGTTAAAAACTCAGTCAGGAAGAAAGTAAAGCTTGGTCGGAGTGGGTTCTATTATGACATATAAATCCAACTATTCTATATTTTTACTCATATGAAATGTACGCCGCTCAGAATATAACGCCAACAGTTTTGGATGCCATGAACGGAAATGTTTCCGAATGGTATAACGAATGCGACAATGCCATTAGAAGGTCAGAAATAGTTCCTGGAACTTACGAATATACAACTGCTGTTTCTTATGGAAACGTAGGTGAGTTTGGAGAAGGTTCTTCAACAACAGTAGATATTGCTTGCGACAGGTTTCATATAATTTCTATTGACAACTCTTTCTTATACGTGGAACAAGACATTGAAATAAAACCTTCTGCCAAGTTGTCTGACAAGAAAGGTTGCAATGGAATTTTCTATGTCGGATACCAATATGCTCCAGAAGTTTTCATGGGATATAAGATATATTCTAACTCTGACTTAGTTCAAACAGTAACATGGGCAAACTATGAATGGTTCGCTTTGAGAAACTCAGTACAACCACAAGCTAGAGAACAAACAGACCAGTATGCAACTATTGAGAAAATAAGAAGACTTGACCCTAACGTTCCAGGAGTTTATGTTAACCTTTCTGGACAAACTGCAGCAGCAGTAACCAAAGTAAAACTGAAACTTAGAGTTCCTTTGTCATCTTTCCTCATCTTCAGGTTTTTAAGATACTTGCCAAACTGGGCAGGAAAAATTTCTATCGAACTTACTCCAAGCAAAAATAACTTAGTCATTGCACCAACACAAGACCCATTCACTCTTACAGAAGTAGTGGGAACAAATAAAATGTCATTCGCCGACTTTTGCAAAAACAAAGTTGACTTAGACTTTGGTTTCTCAAACCTCAACACTGAAGTAAACTATTATTTCAATGCTGCTGGAGATGCTTGGGACCCAGTTAAGTTCACATGCGAAAAATTTGAATGCAAGAGAATAGAAAGCAGACTTGCAGTCTATATGTTGGACCCAGATATTTCAAATGCTTTAGCTGCCAAATATATTGCAGTTCCACTTATGTTCCCTATACACCAAATATCTGTCAAAGACTTTGCAGGTGAAGTTGGAAACCAAAGTGCTGACCCAGGTGCAAGAACAGATATTGCTTTAACAACTGCAATGAAACATGCAGATACTATGTTTGTACTGTTCAGACGAACTATAAATGACTATTCTTGCTTCTACAACCCTGGTATTAAATACCATATAAACATAGATGGCAAATATTATCCAAGAGAAGAATATTCTACAGTTGAGGATATGAGGTCATACAACTTGACATTAGATGCTATGAACTTTAACAACAACTTCACAACAACCATTAACCCTGAAATGCAAAGTTCTATTATGCCATATGTGAAAGTATGGACTCATACAGGAGCTCAAAAAACTCAATATACAAATGGAGACCGTTCAAACTTTTGGCTTGGCATTCCATTTGCTGACTCAGAAGACTTTATGGGTGGTATTTCAACTGTTGGTACTGTTCAAATACAATATACTGGTGACAGAGACGGTCCAGATGAATGAAAGCAAAGAAGTTTACAAAACCAATAGCACTTTTCACGGAAGATGCTCTTTTGAAGATTCGTTCGATGAAACCTGCTGGGGCTCCTCAGATTGGTATAACGACAGCTTCCATCGAGCAGATTTTGGCAGCAGGTCAGTAAGTTGTTCTTGAACTGACTTCTCTCCGTCAAATATTGACAGTACGCCAGTTTTGACATAATATTGTATTATAAACTTACCTTTAGAAATATCGGTCAGTTTTGTTGTTATATTTTTGTCTGCTTCAAGAACTTTCACCATTTCGTTATACCAACTTTCTTTGCTTTATGAAAATATTTTGGTTCAGCAAAGACTGCTATTCTATAACATTTTCCATTGTTTGTATAAAGAACTATTCTGTCAATGTATTTGTATTGTTTGTGTGTGTAAACTTTGTTCTGCTTCAATTCGAAGAGATACTCAATACGTCCATCTTTTTATTCTAAGTAAAATGTCATTTCCGAAAAATAGAAGCGTAAGTGTTTCAAAAGGTTTAATGGCGGTGGCAGATGTGAAGTTAAATTCACCAACTCAAACAAACAGTCAAAGTGTTGTTGTCAATGTCAAAGAAAGAGATGTTGAAGTGGGGAAACCATACGAAGACGAAGATGGTATAACAATAGTTCCTGTAAAAGAACAACCAACATACCCTGAAGTTAGCAGAGACTTAAGTTCTGTTGCAGATATTCGAAACGACTACCAACAACTTAAAGACAAACTTAAAACTCAGGAGAAGATTTGTCAAGCTTTGGGTATAATGTTAAACTTGGTTGAACACAACCCTGTAAAAGTGAACTCATATGTCATCGCACCTCATGAAATTTTGAAAGAACTATTGAAACTTTTGACAGAGGCAGACGATATAAACATCAAAGAAATAGAACCCGACATTGTTGCTGTGGTGTTTCATATAATGTCATTGACAAGATATACGTTATGAAAGGAGGTGAAACGTTGAACTTAAAATATAGTTTCCCAGACGTCATAAAAATATTTGACGACCACAACATTTCATTAAAATTTACTTGCTAAGTAAATGGCAGAAGACATAGTGGTTTATACTATTACGACTAAAAACCCTGAGTCATATAATTCTATAACAACAAACTTACAAAGTCCTCAAGGACGATATTGTAAACTGACCTTAAACACGATGACGACTAAAGCCTGTTTTGCTCTTTTGACACCAGAAGACTTTGTTGTTGTGAATGGTAAAAAATACTTCTTTGAAGATACTTACTCAGATATACCACCAACAGGTTTTGTTGACTTATTTAATACTTTAAGGACGGATGTAACATGTGCTGCAACTAGAGCAGGTTTCATTATGTTTGGATGTCCGACTGAGTTTAGTATAAACGATATGAGCTATAATACAAAACTTATATCTGGTTTTTACTACCAACAGTTTCCTATAACAGGAAAAGGTGTCATACAAGGTTCTGTTCCATTGACTTTAAGTACACCTATTTTATATATTGTTTCAAACTTAGGTTCAAAGTGTATTCGAATGTCGACAGAAACTACTATGACCAAAAGATACTCATGCGTATAAACAACACTTTCTCTGCTGGTTTGCCTATTGTTCATTCGAATGCAGAGTTTTCAGCTTTAGTAAACTCAAACACTTTAGCAAACATAAACTTAACCTTAGTTGACGCAAACTTTGTTCCTGTAAAACTTTTATGTCCTATGTATTTGTCAATGACGGCAGAAAGTTTCGAATTGGAAGATGCAACTGGTGAAAGTATTGTACTACAAGAACAACTTCAACAACAAATAGCTCAAGAACAACAAATGCAACAAATGCAACAAATGGAACAAATGCAACAACAAAGTCAAGAATAAAAAAAATATTTTTTTTATTTTTATAAAAATGTACAGAATAGACGTTTCAGATTTTTATGACTTCCAAGCGTTCAGAAATATGTGTCCATTTAGAGACTATAACAAAGCAGTCGAGAATTTGAAACGTTTAGTCATTTATGTCGACTCTGCCCCAGAATGTTATGTCATGAAAGAATGGGATGTTGTCTTTAACAAACCAAGAGCAACAATAGTTTCAGAACAAGAATGTAGACAGAAACTTAAGAAAATAAAAGTCGTACAAGTTGGTATGAAGATGTTAGATGCTTGGGATATCTTATTGTCAAAGTTAGAAGATTTTTCAGTTCGTGGTATAAAGTTCTATACACCATCTCCAAACTTCTATTCTATCTTCACTGGATATAAATACGAACAAGTAGAATGGAAAGAAAATGTTATAGAAGCTTGGTTAGACCATGTCAAAGAAATTATATGCAATGGAAACGAAAGAGTCTATGAGTATATCTTATGTTGGTTTGCAAACATCTTACAACATCCAAGTGCTAAAAATGAAACTGCTCTCATCATAATTGGAAAACAAGGAACAGGTAAGAACACTTTCTTTACAGATATCTTTGCAAACTGTTAGAGGGCTATTCGAACCGAATATGACAAACTTAGAAAACATCTGCGGTAAATTTAACTCTCAATAGAGAATATGAAACTTATAGTATGTAACGAACTTCAAAGTATAGATACAACAAAAGTTTTAACTCAGATGCTTTGAAGAGTCTTATAACAGACAAAGTTGGAGTTGTTGAAAGAAAATATAAAGACCAAAGAGTTTGTGAAAATGTTGCAAACTTCATCATGGTTTCAAACAATGTTGTTCCGATGAAGTTAGAAAGTTCTGACAGAAGATATGTAGTTGTCAGAACGTCAGATTCTCATATGCAAGATACAGAATATTTTGACGACTTAGCAGAAACTTTGACACTACTTTTACAACCACTTGTTCTCATATTTCATGACATTAGATATTTCAAAGTTCAATCCAAGACAAATTCCACATACCGAAGAGAGACAAACATTGTTAGAAGCAAACAAGAGTGTATATGAACTGTTTATAGATGAACTACTTTGAGTGTTTAGATGAAAGGTCATTGTACGATTCATAAACAATATTGTCAAGAGTATGGTTATATGACAGCTCTAAACGAACATTCTTGGCAAATGTCAAAAGTCTTTTAGATGTTCAGAATGGCGTATATACAAAGAAAAATTTTTTGAGTAAATTTTAAAAAAAATATTTTTATTTTATTTGAAATGTACGCTGAGTTTGTTGGAGAAGACCGTTGGGAAACTTGTTTGTTAGATGAGAAATATGAAATTCACTGTTGTGAGTCATTTGAAGTCAGAAACAAAAAGACAAAAAGAGTTTTAAGCGAATGGGAGCGAAATGACGGATATGCTGATATGAAGATGGGTGGAAAACACTATCTTAAACATGTTGTCATTGCAACTCATTTTATACTGAATCCTAACAATTTACCTTTTGTAGACCATATAAACCGTATAAGAAACGACAATAGACTTGAAAACTTACGTTGGGTCACTGGTTCTGAAAACAATAAGAACAAAAGCAAATTTGGAGATATAGTATTCGAATTTGTCGACGAACTAGAAGATGAAGCAATTGAAATTACAGACTATGGCAAGCATACGTTTGAGTTTTACTACTACAGCGAAGAACAGGACTCTTTCTACTTTTATACCGGCGTAAACTATAGAAAATTACAAGTATGTTTTACTAAGGCAGACTATGCTTATGTATACGCTAGAGATACAGATGGAAAATACGTTAGACTATTTCTTAACAAATTCAAGAAGCTATATGGCATACCATTTTAAAACGTTTTTAAAAAAATATTTTTTTATCCGATAGAAAAGATGACGAAATATATTTCAGTCAACAAGTACATGACAGACAAAGAAGAACTAGACCCATTCGTATTTGAATGTTTACTTCTACCATTTTGAAAAGTCTACATTTGACAAAGTTTGGAACATCGAACCAGTTAAGTTTGCTATTGTGACTAAAAATGGTGCGAAATTTGAAGACTTAGACATAGAAGGTTTGTTAGCAGTCAAAGAAAATTTTGACAGAAGGTTTTCAAACCTTAAAGAAGGCAAAGCATACAAACTTGTTATACCTTATGAACCAAAGAAAGCAGACGACTATGAATATTATGAGTCTAAGATAGTTGAAGTTCAAGGTAAATTGGGTAAAAAGATTTTAGAGTCTAAACCAGTGTTTGCTCCTAAAGAGGAAGAGAACATTGACATTGACCCAGAAATGTTCTAAAAATAAAATTTTATTTTTACATGTCAAATTTCTTTTTCTCTGGCTCTGGCTCTGGCTCTTTCTTCTCTTCTTCTACTTTCTTTTCTTTCTTTTCTCTCTTCTTCTTCTTCTTCTCTGGTGGAGTTATGTCAAATTTGGCGCAACCATATTTATGTAAAAGGTCTTTGTCCTTTAATAGCTCTTCTATTCTGTTTTCTATTTCATCTTCAAGAACAGCGCATGTGTCTTCTTTGCATTCTAAGAACTTTTGTTGGACTTCATCTTTCCAATCGGCGTCATCTCTGTCAACAAGTCTGTCATTGACAAACTTAAAGACTTCTCTGCTTAATGTTTTATGGTTCTTGTCATATTCCCAGAAACAGAACTTTAGAACAAATTCACCTTTCTTGTTGACACTATGTAAGATTTTATGGTCGACAGATGTTTTGCTGTCGAAAAGTTTGTCTCGAATATAGATAGCGAAATCGCTAGACATTTTCTAAAAGATAAAATTTTTAATTTTTCTAAAAATATGTTAGAAAAAAAGTTTGCTGACATTGACAAGAAATTTGAGAATGTTTTAAACAAGAACAAGAGGAAGTTAGAAAATGCTCAGATAAAGCCTATACATGACAAGTTCTTATTTGCTCAGAATGGTATAACAGGTCTAATTGCACCACCTGGGTCGGGTAAGACTTTCACTTATCTTAAAATGGCTGCACAACAACAAGAACTAGATGAGAAGAACCCATTCTATGAGTTAGTTGTCATTTGTAGTACTTCTGGTCAATTTGACCAAACCGTCAATTCGTTCAAAGATATTATAAAGAAGTCTAAGTTAGTATGTATAAAAGACTCTGAGTTGTTAGATTGGATAAAGAAGTACCAAAGAAGAGTTTTGAAGTACAATGCTATAAATGAGTATGTCAATTCGAAGTTTAAAGACCCAAATGAGGAAATGCAGAGAATATTAGAGAAGAAACACTTCAGAAACAAACAGAAAGAGATAGAATACATTTCGAAGAAATTGCAATCTTACGATTGGAAGACTTACCCTCATAGATGTCTTCTTATCTTAGATGACTTTGCTTCTCATCCTTTGTTAAAGAACAGAGAACAAGACATGTGTCGAATTCTCAAGAAGCTCAGACACTTTAACATTTCAGTTGTCATTTGTGTACAGACAGCCAAGAGTTTAAGTAAGGATGTAAAGAGAATACTTACTGATATCATACTTTTCCCTGGATTGTCCGAAGACGATTTCATGGAACTTATGAAAGAGTCCATGGCAGGTAAGTTTGACAGACATGAACTATGGGAGAAGTACAAAGTCATACAAGACCCTCATACTTCTTTCAGAATTCATATCTACGCAAACAAAGTTCAAATTGTAAAAAGTCAAGCTTGAAAAATAAAGAGTTTTGGCGACCAGGGTTTTTTCACTACTCGCTGTTCTTCATGAAATTTCATACGGAATTCAATAAAAATAATGTTTATGTTAGAATGTTAGATCTAACATGTTTTCTAACATGTTTTCTAACATGGTCTAAAACATACAAAATTCATGAAATTTCATACGGAATTCAATAAAAATAATGTTTATGTTAGAATGTTAGATCTAACATGTTTTCTAACATGTTTTCTAACATAACTATTTACAAGCGTTTTACATGGTATATGTTGCGATGGTTCATGACTCTAAACAATTTCGTAGCTTCTATTTCTTCTGTCAGTACATCGAATGTTTTAACGATACCGAAAGTTTCTTTATACTTCTTCTTGACGTCAGATAGAAGGAAATCGTCAGCAGTTGGATAGTTTTTGTTCAGAAATGCTAACATGTTCATTTTATCTTCTGCTGGCTTTTCTGCTTCTTTCTTTAAGTCTGCATAGTCGTTTCTCATTCTTTCTATCTCTTTGACTGAGTAGTTATATTTCCTCATTGCTGCTTTACATTTAGAACATTGCGGGTTCATTTTTGCGTTATATTCTGAAACCTTACCTGCTAAAACAACTAAGGCGTCAATTGCTCTCTTCATCTCGAACATAGCGGGTCTTATTTGTTCGTTCCATACCTTACCTCTTCTATCTTTATCTCTTATTTCCCAAACACATTTTGCAACTAATGAAACAAAGTTGTCGTAGGTCTTAAATTCTTCGGATTTGTAAAGGTCAGAGATGTTCTTATATACCATGTCGCAATCTTTGTCCATAACCTTATGGTTGCAATGAAATCCTAGAAACTCATAGTTTACCTTTCGTATGAACTTCTTTATTTCTACTGAGTCAGTAACTTTAACTTCAATTTCGTCGAATTCAGGAATAGTGAGTTTTTGTTGTTGGATTTCAGGCAATTTGGGTAAATGGTCAATAATGTCCTGCATTTCATAAAGATACTGTTCATTTGTTTCATCTTTCGCACTACAGTCTAAATTACTTGTTAAAAGTTCTTGCTTTATCTTCTGGATTTTTGTTTCGAAAGTATATGAAGAAGGAATGAAGTTTTTCATCTCTACCAACATAGATGTTGGATTCATAACTAACGAGTTTGGTGCTGTAGTTGTTTGAACTGTTGTTGTGCCGATTGTTGAAATCATATTTTTTATACAAAATAAAAAAATATTTTTTTAAAAAAACCAACTTTATTTTTTATTTCGGGAAAACTCATGAAAATTCAAGAGTTTTAGACCATGTTAGAAAACGTGTTAGAAAACATGTTAGATCTAACATTCTAACATAAACATTATTTTTGCTGAAAAAGTGTTATTTTTTCATGTCCGAAGACTCGAAGGTGCAACACTTCCAAAATACCGACGAACTCAGAAGAGCAGCATGGCAGTATCTTCTTGACAACTTCTTTGAGTTCTCCAGGCACACCTTGGAAAATGCTGAAGAACTCCGACACAGAGAATTTGGAGAAATTGCACTCCAATACTACCTTGACAAACAAAGGGTAAACAAAGGGTAAAATAAGACTAAAAACTTAACGTTTAAAAAGTGACATTTTTATGAGCTCCGAGTCACCGAGAAAACTTGGTCAGATGTTAGCAGCTTACTTCCCTGAGGAGGATGGAAGCGTTACATACGTAAGGTTCAAAAACAACGAACCTGGAATTGCGTACCAAATTCGCAATTACATGACCATGGAAGAGTACGAAAGGTTTCTACAAGAGAAACCAGCTCTAAACAACTCAGAAAAGAAAGAATAAAAAGTTTAACTCGTAATTGTTTATTTTTTTACTTGTATGGGCAAGCTGCAAGAATGAAGTCGACTATCTCGGTCTTTGTCTTGACCAGTTGGACTGCTCTTGCGAGTACGTCTGTTTTACGGTCTCCAGCTGGTGTCTGACCTTCGTAATTGCGCATGTTCTTGAGAGCTCCAGTTGTAAATGGTTGTAGGATGAAGAGTCTCTCAGACTGCTTGAGGTAGTCTTCACGGTCACGAACCGAATCTGTGGTACGAGTCGAATCGGTCGATTTGAGGGAAGAGAGTGAGAGCCTGTCTTCTTCCATAGGGGCTGTGGCATACTCTTTGCGTAAACGGTTCAGACCTTCTTCGAACTCTTGGTCTCTCTTGGACTGAGATTGGAATTTGAATTGGGGTGGAGGGTTTGACATGAACATCCAAGGGTTAGGGAAGTAAGGCATGGGTTGAGGAGGGTAGTTTGGAAAGCCTTGTGGTGGGTAGTTTGGAAAGCCTTGTGGTGGGTAGTAACCTTGAGGTGGAAATTGGTAGTAATTCGGAGGTCCTTGTTGGAACTGAGGTTGCTGTGGGGAGCCTTGTGGAGGTGGAACCTGTTGTGGTGCTGGAGCATGCTGTTCTTCTGGCTGTGGAACGGGTTCAGTAGGTGGGACGTCGGACATTCGTTTGTGTCTTAACCGTCTTTGTTCTGAAACAATATAATATTGTCTTGAAAAAGTACAATATTGTCTTGAAAAAGTACAATATTGTCTTGAAAAAGTACAACATTGTCTTGAAAAAGTACAACATTGTCTTGAAAAAGTACAACATTGTTCTGAAAAAGTACAACATTGTTCTGAAAAAGTACAACATTGTTCTGAAAAAGTTCAAGACTTGTTCTGAAAAAGTACAGCCGTACTCAAATTTGAGAGACATTGTACTGAATTTATACAACATTGTTCTGAAAAAGTACAACATTGTCTTGAAAAAGTACAACATTGTCTTGAAAAAGTACAACATTGTCTTGAAAAAGTACAACATTGTCTTGAAAAAGTACAATATTGTACTGACTCAGTATGGAGCTTGACCCCTTAGACGAAGCAATTTATCTAATTGAGGTAAATGAAACCGTGAAGGAATATCTCAGCAAGTGCAAACCAAGCAAGTCCATTGGCTTCTGGTTGTCCAAGAATAGTGTCTTAAAGTTGGAAATTGAAACAGGTGTTGCAATTCAAGTTCCAGAAGGCACTGCATTCGATGATATTAAGGATGTGAAGAAAGAAGCCCTCTTGAAGTTCTTCATGAAACGTCCTTGGATACTACTTCCATATCGTGAGAGCCCAATTCCACGAATTACACAAATTCTCAGAGCACTACTTCACTACTCTGGACAGCCGTTCTTCATAACCTCAGAAGGCGACATCCAACCAATTCAGTAAACATCTCATTTTAACTTCACTTTTTTTATGTTTTTACTCACACTCGTACTCAACAGGTTTGTGTACAACTATTTCAACTGTGAACCTTGTATTGACCGGTCTTCCTGCAAATGCAAGTTCGGTCAATACACAATTTATGGTGGCAAGAAAGACAGTGGGGAATGTTATTCTGACATCTGTTGTTGCGCTCGAGAGAGAATTGAAATTCCAGACCCAACTCCAACAAGAACTCTCAAGTTGCCGAAGACTCATGTGAAGAAGAAGCCTTCTGGTAAGTTTCTTATAGCCATATACATGGCACGCTTTGAGTAAAAACATTTTTTTCATTTTTTGAATGAAGCAAGTTAAATTCGTCCCACACCAAACTCAATGGACCGATGAAGAGTTTCAAGCTATGGTTGAAGGTGTTGAGAACGACATAGACGGCGAACTTGAAGGAGCTCAAACCACAATTGCAACCAAAATTGCAGAAGTCAAGGAAAAATAGCTCCACTTAAAGCTACCAAAGCTACTCTTGACCTCATGGATACTTACCGTTTAGAAGTAAAGAGTGGAATAAGACAATTAAAATTAAAACTTCTAAACTACGAAGCTATACTCCAAAAGTTAGCAGAAATGAGAAGACTTTACCAGAGCTACTTACATGTAAGGGACTTACCTTCAAGCAGTCCGACCAAAGATGAATTTTCTGACATTGTCCCAATTTTGTCCGAAAGTCAGCTCAGATGTTTTGAACTGCTCCCAACATATCCAGAATATGAACGTTTGCCTGAACTCTTCCGCAATCTCAAAAAACGTTTTTTGGTTCTCATGTTCGAAACTTTTATCGGAAGAGACAACAAACGTTCAGAAGAAGAACAAGATATTATTTTAAACTTGTTGTATGACTTAACCGTCATAACAAGCTTTTTGAAGTAAAACCGTCATTCTCAAACCACTTCATTTTTTCGATGTCCGAACAAGCACCGAAGCCGAACACAATGGAAGATGTCCTTTCAATGTTGCCAGACAAGCGCCCAGTTCAAATTCAAATTTTGAATTTGAAAGCTCATCTGACAAACACCGTTAAGACTCTCCAAAGTAGTCTTATGGAAGAGATGAAGGGACTTAAAGGTGAGTTCCTCATGAACCAAGCTTCCAATGAGAAAGTCCTGAACGATTTGACGGAAACCTTGCGCATTTACGCGAGAGAGAACCGAGACCTTGCCAGACTCATCTACCGTTTCTTCGAAGAGATAGACGCCATCTGGAAGGTACTCGGAAAGGACAGAACCTCCAACACCGTACTTCGTGAACACAGAATTGCCGAAGGAATTGTCGAGGAAGAAGAGAAACACGAAGAAGAGGAAGAGGAAGAAGAGGAAGAAGAGAAACACGAAGAAGAGGAAGTTTGGGCAACCCTTGTTGCCGATGACACTTACGAAATTTCCCAACCCTACCCATACCAAATCCGCAACAAGGAGACCGGCAAGGTTCTTACCCCAGTTCTCAACAACTTGGGACACTTGAACCTTACCCTTCGGAATTACGGTTCAATCTCCATGGGCAAGCTTGTCGCAATTCAATGGGTTCCAAATCCAAACAAGAGGACGAAGGTCAGACACATTGACGGTGACAAGCTCAACAACCGTAAGGAGAACCTCGAGTGGTTCTAAGAGTAAAAAAATTTTATTTTAGGGGGAAACCCCGAGTAAATTTAAGTTTTTAGTTGCGTAAGCGGCTTAAATTAAGGATAATTTGGACAAGTAGTTCCTGACCTCTGAATTGGACTCTTTCGTCATCCCAGTT